CACTGTTGCTGCAGTATCACGAGTGGGTCTGTTTTGCTGCAGTATCACGAGTTCTGTTGCTGTGTGTCTGTTTCACAGTAGCATCACGAGTGTGCTGCAGTATCACGAGTGTGTCTGTTTTCACAGTCACTGTTGCTGCAGTATCACGAGTGTGTCTCACAGTGCTATTGCTGCAGCATCACGAGTGTGTCTGTTTTGCTGTTGCTGCAGTATCACGAGTGTGTCTGTTTTACACAGTACTGTTGCTGCAGTGTCACGAGTGTGTCTGTTTTCACAGTACTGTTGCTGCAGTATCACGAGGTGTGTCTGTTGCAGTATCACGAGTGTGTCTGTTTTCACAGTACTGTTTGCAGCATCACGAGTGTGTCTGTTTCACGAGTGTGCAGTATCACGAGTGTGTCTGTTTCACAGTACCGTTGCTGCAGTATCATCAGTACCGTTGCTGCAGTATCACGAGTATGTGTTTTCACAGCACCTGTTGCACATGCAGTATCACGAGTGTGTCTGTTCACAGTACTGTTTCTGCAGTATCACAGTATGTCTGTTTGCCATTGTTGCTGCAGCATCACGAGTGTGTCTATTGTTATCACAGTATGTGCTGCAGTATCACAGTCTGTTTCACAATACTGTTGCTGCAGTATCACGTGAGTGTGTCTGTTTTCACAGTACTGTTGTTGCAGTATCACGAGTATGTCTGTTTTCACAGTTCTGTTCATCAGTGTCTGTTTTCACAGTGCAGCATCACGAGTATGTCTGTCTGTTTTCACGAGTGTGTCTGTTTTCACAGTACTGTTGCTGCAGTATCACGAGTGTGTCGAGTATTGTCTGACGAATTTGTCTGTTTACACAGTACCGTTGCTGCAGTATCAGGAGTGTGTCTGTTTTACACACGGTATCAGGATTGTCTGTTTTCGCAGTATCACGTATGTGTCTGTTTTCACAGTGCTATTGTTGCAGTATCACGAGTGTGTCTGTTTTCACAGTACTGTTGCTGCAGTATCACGAGTGTGTCTGTTCCACAATACTGTTGCTGCAGTATCACGTGTGTGTCTGTTTTCACAGTACTATTGCTGAAGTATCACGGGTGTGTCTGTTTTCACAGTTCTGTCGCTGCAGTATCACGAGTATGTCTGTTTTCACAGTACTGTGGCTGCAGTATCACGAGTGTGTCTGTTTTCACAGTACTGTTGTTGCAGTATCCCGAGTGTGTCTGTTTCACAGTGCTATTGTTGCAGTATGACGAGTTTGTCTGTTTTCACAGTACTGTTGCTGCAGTATCACGAGTGTGTCTGTTTTACACAGTACTGTTGCTGCAGTATCACGAGTGTGTCTGTTTTCACAGTTCTGTTGCTGCAGTACAACGAGTGTGTCTGTTTCACAGTGCTATTCTTGCAGTATCATGAGTGTGTCTGTTTTCACAGTACTGTTGCTGCAGTATCACGAGTGGGTCTGTTTTCACAGTACTGTTGCTGCAGTGTCACGAGTGTGTCTGTTTTTACAGTACTGTTGCTGCAGTATCAGGTGTGTGTCTGCTTCACAGTACTGATCCTGCAGTATCACGAGTGTGTCTGTTTTCACATTACTGTTTCTGCAGTATGACGAGTGTGTCTGCTTTCACAGTACTGTTCCTGCAGTATCACGAGTGTGTCTATTTTACACAGTACTGTTGCTGCAGTATCACGAGTGGGTCTGTTTTCACAGTACTGTTGCTGCAGTGTCACGAGTGTGTCTGTTTTCACAGTTCTGTTGCTGCAGTATCACGAGTGTGTCTGTTTCACAGTGCTATTGTTGTAGTATCACGAGTGTGTCTGTTTTCACAGTACTGTTCCTGCAGTATCACGAGTGTGTCTGTTTTACACAGTACTGTTGCTGCAGTATCACGAGTGTGTCTGTTTTCACAGTTCTGTTGCTGCAGTATCACGAGTGTGTCTGTTTCACAGTGCTATTGTTGCAGTATCACGAGTGTGTCTGTTTTCACAGTACTGTTGCTGCAGTGTCAGGAGTGTGTCTGTTTTCACAGTACTGTTGCTGCAGTGTCACGAGTGTGTCTGTTTTCACAGTACTGTTGCTGCAGTATCAGGTGTGTGTCTGTTTCACAGTACTGATCTTGCAGTATCACGAGTGTGTCTGTTTTCACAGTACTGTTTCTGCAGTATCACGAGTATGTCTGTTTTCACAGTACTGTTTCTGCAGTATCACGAGTGTGTCTGTTTCACAATGCTATTGCTGCAGTATCACGAGTGTGTCTGTTTTACACAGTACTGTTGCTGCAGTATCACGAGTGTGTCTGTTTTCACAGTTCTGTTGCTGCAGTACAACGAGTGTGTCTGTTTCACAGTGCTATTCTTGCAGTATCATGAATGTGTCTGTTTTCACAGTACTGTTGCTGCAGTATCACGAGTGGGTCTGTTTTCACAGTACTGTTGCTGCAGTGTCACGAGTGTGTCTGTTTTTACAGTACTGTTGCTGCAGTATCAGGTGTGTGTCTGCTTCACAGTACTGATCCTGCAGTATCACGAGTGTGTCTGTTTTCACATTACTGTTTCTGCAGTATGACGAGTGTGTCTGCTTTCACAGTACTGTTCCTGCAGTATCACGAGTGTGTCTATTTTACACAGTACTGTTGCTGCAGTATCACGAGTGGGTCTGTTTTCACAGTACTGTTGCTGCAGTGTCACGAGTGTGTCTGTTTTCACAGTTCTGTTGCTGCAGTATCACGAGTGTGTCTGTTTCACAGTGCTATTGTTGTAGTATCACGAGTGTGTCTGTTTTCACAGTACTGTTCCTGCAGTATCACGAGTGTGTCTGTTTTACACAGTACTGTTGCTGCAGTATCACGAGTGTGTCTGTTTTCACAGTTCTGTTGCTGCAGTATCACGTGTGTGTCTGTTTCACAGTGCTATTGTTGCAGTATCACGAGTGTGTCTGTTTTCACAGTACTGTTGCTGCAGTGTCAGGAGTGTGTCTGTTTTCACAGTACTGTTGCTGCAGTGTCACGAGTGTGTCTGTTTTCACAGTACTGTTGCTGCAGTATCAGGTGTGTGTCTGTTTCACAGTACTGATCTTGCAGTATCACGAGTGTGTCTGTTTTCACAGTACTGTTTCTGCAGTATCACGAGTATGTCTGTTTTCACAGTACTGTTTCTGCAGTATCACGAGTGTGTCTGTTTCACAATGCTATTGCTGCAGTATCACGAGTGTGTCTGTTTTCACAGTGCTATTGTTGTAGTATCACGAGTGTGTCTGTTTTACACAGTGCTTTTGCTGCAGTACCACGAGTGTGTTGTTTCACAGTGCTATTGTTGCAGTATCACGAGTGTGTCTGTTTTCACAGTACTGTTACTGCAGTATCACGAGTGTGTCTGTTTTCACAGTACTGTTGCTGCAGTATCACGAGTGTGTCTGTTTTCACAGTACTGTTGCTGCAGTATCACGATTGTGTCTGTTTCACAGTGCTATTGTTGCAGTATCACGAGTGTGTCTGTTTCACAGTGCTATTGTTGCAGTATCACGAGTGTGTCTGTTTTCACAGTACTGTTGCTGCAGTATCACGAGTGTGTCTGTTTTCACAGTTCTGTTGCTGCAGTATCACGAGTGTGTCTGTTTCACAGTGCTATTGTTGCAGTATCACGGGTGTGTCTGTTTTACACAGTACTGTTGCTGCAGTATCACGAGTGTGTCTGTTTTACATAGTACTGTTGCTGCAGTATCACGAGTGTGTCTGTTTTCACAGTTCTGTTGCTGCAGTACAACGAGTGTGTCTGTTTCACAGTGCTATTGTTACAGTATGACGAGTTTGTCTGTTTTCACAGTACTATTCCTGCAGTATCACGAGTGTGTCTGTTTTCACAGTACTGTTGCTGCAGTATCACGAGTGTGTCTGTTTTCACAGTTCTGTTGCTGCAGTATCACGAGTGTGTCTGTTTTCACAGTACTGTTGCTGCAGTATCACGAGTGTGTCTGTTTCACAGTGCTATTGTTACAGTTTCACGATTGTGTCTGTTTTCACAGTACTATTCCTGCAGTATCACGAGTGTGTCTGTTTTCACAGTACTGTTGCTGCAGTATCACGACTGTGTCTGTTTTCACAGTACTGTTGATGCAGTATCACGAGTGTGTCTGTTTCACAGTGCTATTGTTACAGTATCACGATTGTGTCTGTTTTCACAGTACTATTCCTGCAGTATCACGAGTGTGTCTGTTTTCACAGTACTGTTGCTGCAGTATCACGAGTGTGTCTGTTTCACAGTTCTGTTGCTGCAGTATCACGAGTGTGTCTGTTTTCACAGTACTGTTGCTGCAGTATCACGAGTGTGTCTGTTTCACAGTTCTGTTGCTGCAGTATCACGAGTGTGTCTGTTTCACAGTTCTGTTGCTGCAGTATCACGAGTGTGTCTGTTTTCACAGTACTATTCCTGCAGTATCACGAGTGTGTCTGTTTTCACAGTACTGTTCCTGCAGTATCACGAGTGTGTTGTTTCACAGTGCTATTGTTACAGTATCACGAGTGTGTCTGTTTTCACCGTACTGTTGTTGCAGTATTACGAGTGTGTCTGTTTCACAGTGCTATTGTTGCAGTATCACGAGTGTGTTGTTTCACAGTGTTATTGTTGCAGTATCACGAGTATGTCTGTTTTCACAGTACTGTTGCTGCAGTATCACGAGTTTGTCTGTTTTCACAGTACTGTTGCTGCAGTATCACGAGTGTGTCTGTTTCACAGTGCTATTGTTGCAGTATCACGATTGTGTCTGTTTTCACGGTACTATTGCTGCAGTATCACGAGTGTGTCTGTTTTCACAGTACTGTGGCTGCAGTATCACGAGTGTGTCTGTTTTCACAGTACTGTTGCTGCAGTATCACGAGTGTGTCTGTTTTCACAGTACTGTTGCTGCAGTATCACGAGTGTGTCTGTTTTCACAGTACTGTGGCTGCAGTATGACGAGTGTGTCTGTTGAATGAATGGACGAACGAGATACAAGTGTCGTGTCTGATCTCGCCTTCGCTGTTGACGCCTTCTATTATATGACGCATAATGAAACACGCTGGGTCAAGGGTCAGTGAAGACCACATCTCCCATAAACACTGAACATGTCCCTGTGTCAGTCCGCCATGCTACTCTACAGCCTCGTGAGTATATCTTATACTGCATGTGCAACTTGTATTTACAAAAGAATATTTTCCTCAGACTGTACCAATATAAAATAATGCATTCACACGTTTGGGTTGATAGTTCATCTGTCCACTCATCTAATTCTCGTCGATGTCTACCAAGAGAAGACAAGGAACTAGTGTCTATGGTTAAGATTCTTTAGGAAACAATCTGCACCATGGATGGTATTGTCTGAATATCTAAGCTTATATATAAAACAACTTCCATAAGGCAGATGACACCTAGCTGTAGAGTTACAATTTGTAGAGTTATCAATATGGATGATGTTGCTTGACAGCAGTACTGACTTTGGGACAAATGGACCAATACTGCTCACTTGGTCGTGAATATCGCCACGCTTTAATTCCCCCATAATCTGTTTCTGGGGTAATCTGCGCAAGGATCCATCCATCCCTTCATTAATCGGGACGCAAGGATCCCTGCAGAGACAGAGACAGAGACAGAGACAGACTTTACCTGATGTTGCGTGTGTGTGACATAACCTGTCATGGCGATTGTGTGTGTGTGTCTGACATTAATTAACATTGCGTGTGTGTGTAAAATTACCTGACATTGCGTGCGTGTGTGTGTGTGTGCGTGTGTGTGCGTGTGTGTGTGTGTGTGTGTGTGTGTGTGTGTGTGTGTGTGTGTGTGTGTGTGTGTGTGTGTGTGTGTGTGTGTGTGTGACATTACTTGAAATTGCGTGTGTTTGTGACATTACCTGACATGGCGTGTGTTTGTGACATTACCTGACACGGTGTGTGGTTGACATTACCTGACATGGCGTGTGTGTGTGACATTACCTGACATGGCGTGTGTGTGTGACATTACCTGACATGGCGTGTGTGTGTGACATTACCTGACATGGCGTGTGTGTGTGTGTGACATTACCTGACATGGCGTGTGTGTGTGTGTGACATTACCTGACATGACGTGTGTGTGACATTACATGACATGGCGTGTGTGTGTGACATTACCTGACATGTTGTGTGTTTGTGACATTTCCTGACATGGCGTGTGTTTGTGACATTACCTGATATGGCGTGTGTTTGTGACATTACCTGACATGACGTGTGTTTGTGACATTACCTGACATGGCGTGTGTTTGTGACATTACCTGACATGACGTCGACGTGTGTGTGACATTACCTGACATGACGTGTGTTTGTGACGTTACCTGATATGGCGTGTGTGTGTGACATTACCTGACATGACGTGTGTTTGTGACATTACCTGACATGGCGTGTGTTTGTGACATTACCTGACATGACGTGTGTGTGTGACATTACCTGAAATGACGTGTGTTTGTGACATTACCTGATATGACGTGTGTTTGTGACATTACCTGACATGGCGTGTGTGTGTGACATTACCTGACATGACGTGTGTTTGTGACATTACCTGATATGGCGTGTGTGTGTGACATTACCTGACATGACGTGTGTTTGTGACATTACCTGACATGGCGTGTGTTTGTGACATTACCTGATATGGCGTGTGTGTGTGACATTACCTGACATGACGTGTGTTTGTGACATTACCTGACATGGCGTGTGTGTGTGACATTACCTGACATGAAGTGTGTTTGTGGCATTACCTGATATGGCGTGTGTTTGTGACATTACCTGACATGGCGTGTGTTTGTGACATTTCCTGACACGGTGTGTTTGTGACATTACCTGACATGGCGTGTGTTTGTGACATTACCTGACATGACGTGTGTTTGTGACATTACCTGACATGGCGTGTGTGTGTGACATTACCTGACATGGCGTGTGTGTGTGACATTACCTGACATGACGTGTGTTTGTGACATTACCTGATATGGCGTGTGTGTGTGACATTACCTGACATGACGTGTGTTTGTGACATTACCTGACTTGGCGTGTGTTTGTGACATTGCCTGACATGGCGTGTGTGTGTGACATTACATGACATGACGTGTGTTTGTGACATTACCTGACATGGCTTGTGTTTGTGACATTACCTGACTTGGCGTGTGTGTGTGACATTACCTGACATGGCGTGTGTTTGTGACATTGCCTGACATTGCGTGTGTTTGTGACATTACCTGACTTGGCATGTGTTTGTGACATTACCTGAGATTGCGTGTGTTTGTGATATTATCTGACATGGCGTGTGGGTGACATTACCTGACTTGGCGTGTGTTTGTGACATTGCCTGATATGGCGTGTGTTTGTGATATTATCTGACTTGGCGTGTGTTTGTGACATTGCCTGATATGGCGTGTGTTTGTGACATTACCTGATATGGCGTGTGTGTGTGACATTACCTGACATTGTGTGTGTTTGTGACATTACCTGACATGACGTGTGTTTGTGACATTACCTGACATTGTGTGTGTGTGTGACATTACCTGACATGACGTGTGTTTATGACATTACCTGATATGGCGTGTGTTTGTGACATTGCCTGACATGGCGTGTGTTTGTGACATTACCTGACATGGCGTGTGTTTGTGACATTACCTGACATGACGTGTGTTTGTGACATTACCTGACATGGTGTGTGTTTGTGACATTACCTGACATGGCATGTGTTTGTGATATTATCTGACATGGCGTGTGTGTGACATTACCTGACATGACGTGTGTTTGTGACATTACCTGACATTGTGTGTGTGTGTGACATTACCTGACATGGCGTGTGTGTGTGACATTACCTGACATGGAATGTATGTGAGGATACTACAGACTTCTGATCTGTTGCAGGTATCCCTGTATCTCCTCTCAACTGCCCGAGCTGGTGATGATGGTGAGTGTGGGTGTATAAACAAACAAACAAAGAAACAAACTAATTAATACATAAATGCGAACCTCGGAGTCGCTTCTTACAGCAAATATCTGAGACGTCCACTAATTGTATCTATTTACAATTGCACGCACGTGATAATGTTCGTGTCCTCAATATGTGAGGTTCACATCAACCGGTATATTTGTCACGCAGGGCCGTGTATGCGCCGCACGTATAATGGATCTACTGGGTCCTTGGAGTCGGCCAACTTCCCCAAATTCTACGATGACTACAGCGACTGCCAGTACATCATCCAACCTCAACTAGGCACCAATTCCATCATCAAGGTGGTGCCGGAGATCTTTGATCTCGAGGGAGGGTACGATCTCCTGGAGGTGAGGCGGTAAACACAAGGACGTACTCTTACACAGTAAACGCGCATGTACTGCAATCGAAGAGAGCGTAAATCGTTTAGCACTAGGAAGTTTTTGACTGCCATTAATCAGGCATGCGCTACGTTATGAGCCTGCATTTCAATCACCAGTCTTGCTTGTGTACGTCGCTACCAGTATTTTATAAGTGCGTTGTATGTGGGCAGGTTCGTGAAGGTGGGCGACACAGCAGGTACGTCGGCCACTTCACCGGCTCCATCATGCCTACCCTGTACGGCAAAGCATTTTGGATGAGGTTCACGAGCGACTTCAGCAACGCCAAGAAGGGTTTTAGATTTTCTTGGAGCGGTGAGCTTAATGTGTTAATGTTTATTTAGCGTATATGTATTGGCTGATGATTTGTCTGTGCCCTATATGCATTATGTTGGTGTGTGAAGTGTCTATGCATTATGTTGGTGTGTGAAGTGTCTATGCATTATGTTGGTGTGTGAAGTGTCTATGCATTATGTTGATGTGTGAAGTGTTTATGCATTATGTTGGTGTGTGAAGTGTCTATGCATTATGTTGGTGTGTGAAGTGTCTATGCATTATGTTGGAGTGTGGGGCTGCTATGCATTATGTTGGTGTGTGAAGTGTCAACGGATTATGTTGGTGTGTGGGGCTGCTATATATCATGTTTGTGTGTGAAGTGTCTACGCGTTATGTTGGTGTGTAGGGCTGCTATGCATTATGTTGGTGTGTGAAATGTCTACGCATTATCATGGTGTGTGTGGCTTCTATGCATTATGTTGGGGTGTAGGGCTGCGATGAATTATGTTGGGGTGTTGTGTGAAGTGTGTACGCATTATGTTGTTGTATTGGGCTGCTATGCATTTGTTTGTAGCTTCTATGCATTAAGTTGGTGTGTGAAGTGTCTATGCATTATGTTGGTGTGTAAAGTGTCTATGTATTATGAAGGTGTGTGAAGTGTTTATGCATTATGTTGGTGTGTGAAGGGTCTATGCATTATGTTGGTGTGTGAAGTGTCTATGCATTATGTTGGTGTGTAAAGTGTCTGTGCATTATGTTGGTGTGAAGTGTTTATGCATTATGTTGGTGAGTGAAGTGTTAATGCATTATGTTGGTTTGTGAAGTGTCTATGCATTATGTTTGTATGTGAAGTGTTTATGCAGTATGTTGGGGTGTGAAGTGTCTATGCATTATGTTGGTGTGTGAAGTGTCTATGCATTATGTTGGTGTGTGGCGCTGCTATGCATTATGTTGGTGTGTGAAGTATCTATGCATTATGTTGGTGTGTGAAGTATCTATGCATTATGTTGGTGTGTGAAGTGTCTATGCATTATGTTGGTGTGTGAAGGGTCTATGCATTATGTTGGTGTGTGAAGTGTCTATGCATTATGTCGTTGTGTGAAGTGTCTGTGCATTATGTTGGTGTGTGGGGCTGCTCTGCATTACGTTAGGGTGTAAAGTGTTTATGCATTATGTTGGTGTGTGAAGTGTCTATGCATTATGTTGGTGTGTGAAGTGTCTATGCATTATGTCGTTGTGTGAAGTGTCTATGCATTATGTTGGTGTGTGAAGTGTCTATGCATTATGTTGGTGTGTGAAGTGTCTGTGCATTATGTTGGTGTGTGAAGGGTCTATGCATTATATTGGTGTGTGGAGCTGCCATGCATTATGTTGGTGTGTGGGGCTGCAATGCATTAAGTTGGTGTGTGAAGTGTCTATGCATTATGATAGTGTGTGAAGGGTCTGTGCATTATGTTTGTGTGTGAAGATTCTGTGCATTATGTTAGTGTATGAAGTGTCTATATGCATTATGTTGGTGTGTGAAGGGTCTATGAATTATGTTGGTGTGTGAAGTGTCTATGCATTATGTTGGTGTGTGGCGCTGCTATGCATTATGTTGGTGTGTGAAGTATCTATGCATTATGTTGGTGTGTGAAGTATCTATGCATTATGTTGGTGTGTGAAGGGTCTATGCATTATGTTGGTGTGTGAAGTGTCTATGCATTATGTCGTTGTGTGAAGTGTCTGTGCATTATGTTGGTGTGTGGGGCTGCTCTGCATTACGTTAGGGTGTAAAGTGTTTATGCATTATGTTGGTGTGTGAAGTGTCTATGCAGTATGTTGGTTTGTAAAGTGTCTGTGCATTATGTTGGTGTGAAGTGTTTATGCATTATGTTGGTGTGTGAAGTGTCTATGCATTATGTCGTTGTGTGAAGTGTCTATGCATTATGTTGGTGTGTGAAGTGTCTATGCATTATGTTGGTGTGTGAAGTGTCTGTGCATTATGTTGGTGTGTGAAGGGTCTATGCATTATATTGGTGTGTGGAGCTGCCATGCATTATGTTGGTGTGTGGGGCTGCAATGCATTAAGTTGGTGTGTGAAGTGTCTATGCATTATGATAGTGTGTGAAGGGTCTGTGCATTATGTTTGTGTGTGAAGATTCTGTGCATTATGTTAGTGTATGAAGTGTCTATATGCATTATGTTGGTGTGTGAAGGGTCTATGAATTATGTTAGTGTGTGAAGTGTCTATGCATTATGTCGTTGTGTGAAGTGTCTATGCATTATGTTGGTCTGTGGGGCTGCTATGCATTATGTTGGGGTGTGAAATGTCTATGCATTATGTTGGTGTGTGAAGTGTTTATGCATTATGTTGGTATGTGAAGTGTCTATGCATTATGCTGGGTGTGAAGTGTCTACGAATTATATTGGTAAGTGGGCCTGCTATGCATAATGGTGGTGTGTGAAGTGTCTAATCATAATGTTGGTGTGCGAAGTGTCTATACATTATGGTGGTGTGTGAAGTGTGTATGGATTATGTTAGTGTGTGAAGTGTTTATGCATTAAGTTGGTGTGTGAAGATTCTCTGTGCATTATGTTGGTGTGTGAAGTGTCTATGCATTATGTTGGTGTGTGAAGTGTCTATGCATTGTGTTAGTGTGTGAAGGGTCTATGCATTATGGTCGTGTGTGAAGTGTCTATATGCATTATGTTGGTATGTGAAGTGTCTATATGCATTATGTTGGTGTGTGAAGTGTCTATGCATTATGTTGGTGTGTGATGTGTCTATATGCATTATGTTGGTATTTGAAGTGTCTATGCATTATGTTGGTGTGTGACGTGTCTATATGCATTAAGTTGGTGTGTGAAGTGTCTATCCATTATGTTGGTGTGTGAAGTGTCTATGCATTATGTTGGTGTTTAAAGTGTGTATATATTATATTTTGTGTGAGGTGCCTATAAATTACGTCGGTGTATGTTGTTAACGGAATATGTTTTTGCGTAATGTCTCTATGTACTCAATGAGTAGAAAAGTGTTAGATGAAAGTTCTCACATAGCGCATATCCCGTTGATGAGTGAGTATTTCCGGTGATGTCTATGTGACCTACTCAAAGGTTTATGCAGTATCTATATATCCCGGTGATGAGTGAGTGATTCCTGTAATGTCTGTGTGACCCACTCAAGTGTTCATGCAGTATCTATATATCCCATTGATGAGTGAGTTATTATGCCCTAGTGTTGATGCGTTGTATGTATGTTGTAGTGGTGTCCGAAGGTGTCAGGCTTGTTAACGGCACTGGAGGTTTGGAAGGTCGGGTTGAGTTGTTCCACGACGGGAGGTGGGGCACCATCTGCGACGACTCCTGGGATCCTGCTGAGGCATATGTCACTTGCGCGATGTTGGGATTCAAGTGAGTGCCAGGGCCCTTCTTGCGTGTGTTGGCATCGTGGCGGGTCTGGGTCTTACTCCTCGCATATACATCCATAGCAGTGTCCCGGGACTGGCATCGTGGCGGGTCTGGGTCTAACTCCTCGCATATACATCCATAGCAGTGTCCCGGGACTGGCACCGTGGCGCGTCTGGGTCTAACTCCTCGTATATACATCCATACAGTGTCCCGGGACTGGCACCGTGGCGGGTCTGGGTCTAACTCCTCGTATATACATCCATACAGTGTCCCGGGACTGGCATCGTGGCGGGCCTGGGTCTAACTCCTCGCATATACATCCATACAGTGTCCCGGGACTGGCATCGTGGCGGGTCTGGGTCTAACTCCTCGCATATACATCCATACAGTGTCCCGGGACTGGCATCGTGGCGGGTCTGGGTCTAACTCCTCGCATACACATCCATACAGTGTCCCGGGACTGGCATCGTGGCGGTTCTGGGTCTAACTCCTCGCATACACATCCATAGCAGTGTCCCGGGACTGGCATCGTGGCGGGTCTGGGTCTAACTCCTCGTATATACATCCATACAGTGTCCCGGGACTGGCATCGTGGCGGGTCTGGGTCTAACTCCTCGTATATACATGCATACAGTGTCCCGGGACTGGCATCGTGGCGGTTCTGGGTCTAACTCCTCGCATATACATCCATACAGTGTCCCGGGAATGTCCTAACCTTCACGCGGTTATTGTATGAGTGAGTGAGTCAGTTTCACGGCGGGGCCTATTGTATGAGTGAGTGAGTCAGTTTCACAGCGGGGATTATTGTATGAGTGAGTGAGTCAGTTTCACGGCGGGGATTATTATATAAGGGTAACAACAGCATTTCTTCATCAAGCATTAAAACCAATAAACTTTATGATCTATTCGAAACATTCGAACGTTTCTACTTTAACTTCGCGTACTTTACAGAGATCCCAAGGCGCTTAAATTTACTCAGGCACATTTTGGACGTGGAGCTGACCCTATCTGGTTGGACAATACAAACTGCTTCACAAACATGACATCCTTATCACAGTGTCGCACAGAGAGCTGGGGCCAACACAACTGTAATCACGGGGAGGACTCTGGCGTCAGGTGTACAGGTGAGGTATTACACTGTAGATGTACCTGTAGCCAGGTGTACAGGTGAGGTATTACACAACAGCTGTACCTGTAACCAGGTGTACAGGTGAGGTATTACACAATAGCTGTACCTGTAGCCAGGTATACAGGTGAGGTATTACACAATAGCTGTACCTGTAGCCAGGTATACAGGTGAGGTATTACACAACAGCTGTACCTGTAGCCAGGTGTACAGGTGAGGTATTACACTATAGCTGTACCTGTAGCCAGGTGTACAGGTGAGGTATTACACAATAGCTGTACCTGTAGCCATGTATACAGGTGAGGTATTACGCTATAGCTGTACCTGTAGCCAAGTGTACAGGTGAGGTATTACACTATAGCTGTACCTGTAGCTAGGTGTACAGGTGAGGTAATACACAACAGCTGTACCTGTAGCCAGATGTACTGGTGAAGTATTACACTATAGCTGTACCTGTAGCCAGGTGTACAGGTGAGGTATTACACAATAGCTGTACCTGTAGCCAGGTGTACAGTCGAGGTATTACACAACAGCTGTACCTGTAGCCAGGTATACAGGTGAGGTATTACACAATAGCTGTACCTGTATCCAGGTGTACAGTTGAGGTATTACACTATAGCTGTACCTGTAGCCAGGTATACAGGTGAGGTATTACACTATAGCTGTACCTGTAGCTAGGTGTACAGGTGAGGTATTACACTATAGCTGTACCTGTAGCCAGGTGTACAGGTGAGGTATTACACTATAGCTGTACCTGTAGCTAGGTGTACAGATGAGGTATTACACAATAGCTGTACCTGTAGCCAGGTAAAGAGGTGTTCTATTACTTCTTAGCTATCACATACCCGGCGATATAGTCACAGGAGTAAACAATATGACATACAACACAGCACAATTGCCAGTTGTGAGCAAATAATATTCTGCTAATATTCACATTAATGTCAGTGACATTCCAATGTTCTAAGCCCATACGTTATCATTTTCCACTAATAACATTCACATTCATTCCAATGTCACCTCAGCCATTTCGAACACCTGCATTGGGTTGCCTCGTGTGTCGCCGCCTGTACAGGCGAGGTATTACACTAGGGGTGAGGTATTACACTACAGGTGAGAGAACGCAGCACATGCAGGAGCAGCAACTGAGCGCTGTTTAACGTCACTTTAATCTCCGAGTGCCTGCAGAATGTAGGGTAAAGGCCCGCAGGGATGCATCTACAAGACATTCACCACCCCAGTCACATCCGGGATCACAGGTAGTTGCAACACACTGGCCAGGTGTTCACCATGATGTCAGGGAGCCGGTGTACCCCTTGTCACTCCCGATACTAACGGATGTACACCCAATGTAGTAACGTTGATCTTCAATGTCTACACCGCTTCCAACCTCACTGTCCATGTATTGCAGATGCTCTGAGAACTATAAAACGGCTCGCTGGAAAAAGAACAAGTTTCCCTAAAGGTTAGTCAGTTTACAAAACGCCTTTCAACTATTATGTATGAAGCTCATGGAAGAGGTACATTTACACTTGAAAAATAAAAGAATGTTAACCCCCATACAGCCAGGTATATTCATAGCGTAATTATATTTGGCTGTATGATTTTTTCGACCCTTAGGTCGTATCATACATTGATTTTATATGGTGCGACGATCAAAGGTGAGCATCACGTGCAATACATGTCAATGTCATTATAATAATATCAACGTTCAGTGCAGTTCTTAGAGCTCGATAACTTGGAAAATTAATTGATTTCGTTGTTGATAAGCAAATATGGGGAATCCCTAAACGACAATGCGGAATGCTGGCATGTCAATAGGGGCTATTGCAAGAGATGCTGACTGTCATCCATCAACTATCAGCCGATTGGTCAGAAGACATCAGCTAACTAATGACGTTTAGGACCGTCAGAGTACAGGTCAACCACGAGTGATAACCCCAGGGAGAATACAGCCCTTCAGGTCGACCACGAGTGATAACCCCAGGGAGAATACAGCCCTTCAGATCGACCACGAGTGATAACCCCAGGCAGGATACAACCCTTCAGGTCCACCACGAGTGATAACCCAAGGGAGAATACAGCCCATCAGGTCCACCACGAGTGATACCCCAGGGAGGATACAACCCTTCAGGTCCACCACGAGTGATAACCCCAGGGAGGATACAACCCTTCAGGTCGACCACGAGTGATAACCCCAGGGGGAATACATCCCATCAGGTCACCACGAGTGATAACCCCAGGGAGGATACAACCCTTCAGGTCCACCATGAGTGATAACCCCAGGGAGGATACAACCCTTCAGGTCCACCACGAGTGATAACCCCAGGGAGAATACAGCCCATCAGGTCCACCACGAGTGATAACTCCAGGGAGAATACAGCCCTTCAGGTCCACCACGTGTGATAACCCCAGGGAGAATACAGCCCGTCAGGTCCACCACGTGTGATAACCCCAGGGAGAATACAACCCTTCAGGTCGACCACAGTGATACAACCCTTCAGGTCCACCACGAGTGATAACCCCAGGGAGGATACAACCCTTCAGGTCCACCACGAGTGATAACCCCAGGGAGAATACAGCCCTTCAGGTCCACCACGAGTGATAACCCCAGGGAGGATACAACCCTTCAGGTCCACCATGAGTGATAACCCCAGGGAGGATACAACCCTTCAGGTCCACCACGAGGTCCACCACGAGTGATAACCCCAGGAAGGATACAACACTTCAGGTCCACCACGAGTGATAACCCCAGGAAGGATACAACACTTCAAGTCCACCACGAGTGATAACCACAGGGAGGATACAACCCTTCAGGTCCACCACGAGTGATAACCCCAGGGAGGATACAACCCTTCAGGTCCGCCATGAGTGATAACCCCAGGGAGGATACAACCCTTCAGGTCGACCACGAGTGATAACCCCAGGAAGGATACAACACTTCAGGTCCACCACGAGTGATAACCCCAGGAAGGATACAACCCTTCAAGTCCACCACGAGTGATAACCCCAGGGAGGATACAACCCTTCAGGTCGACCACGAGTGATAACCCCAGGGAGGATACAACCCTTCAGGTCCACCACGAGTGATAACCCCAGGGAGGATATACCCCTTCAGGTCGACCATGAGTGATAACCCCAGGGAGGATACAACCACCAAATATCCAGCTTGAGGGGGATGTCTTTTGTCTATGACTTACTACCCAGTATCTATTTAGTGGGGGATGTCTATTGTCTATGCCTAACTACCAAGTATTCAGCTTGAGGGGGATGTCTATTGTCTATGACTAACTACCATGTATCCATCTAGTGGACATGTCTATTGTCTATGACTAACTACCAAGTATCCAGCTTAAGGGGGTGTCTGTGGTTAGGTTGCAGCGGCTGGTTCACCAACACGACGGGCACCTTGACGTCCCCGCAGTTCCCCCTGTACCCAAACTTCGCTCAGTGTCAGTACGTCATCGCTCCACCGAAGTCCGACTCTGTCATACAGCTGAAGTTCACAATCTTCGACCTGCAAGAAGGATCTGATTTTCTTGAGGTAGCACATCACGGGTTTCTCATTACATGCTGATACGAACGTTTAAGTATGTTTGTATTAACGAAAACAAAAACAGTAGACAGTGTTATGCTGCCTCTTAAAGCTCCCGTATTTTCATAACGAGTAGAACACAATGTCGGGCAACGTCGTCTCTGTATGCCGTTTACATGGCCACTCATAACGATGAGTTAAGTTGTTTTACCACTCATTGCAGTTCCATGTGACATGAGCAACGGAAGCGTTGTGAAATCGTCTAGGCCTGTAGACCATTGTACGATCTGTAGACCTGTGCACGACCTGAACACCATTGTACGATTTGTAGACCTGTATACGACCTGTAGACCATTGTACGATCTGTAGACCTCTGTACGACCTGTAGACCATTGTACGATTTGTAGACCTGTGTACGACTTGTAGACCATTGTACGATTTGTAGACCTGTATACGACCTGTAGACCATTGTACGATCTGTAGACCTCTGTACGACCTGTAGACCATTGTACGATCTGTAGACCTGTGTATGACATTTTTACCATTGTGCGATCTGTAGACCTGTGTACGACCTGTGGACCATTGTATGATCTGTAGACCTGTGTACGACCTGTAGACCATTGTACGATCTGTAGTCCATTATACGACCTGTAGAGCATTGTACGATCTGTAGACCTGTGTACGACCTGTAGACCAGTGTACGATCTATAGACCTATGTACGATCTGAAGATCATTGTACGACCTGTAGAGCATTCTACGATGTGTAGACCTGTGTACGACCTGTAGACCAGTGTACGATCTATAGACCTATGTACGATCTGAAGATCATTGCACGACCTGTAGACCTGTGTACGACCTGTAAACCATTGTACGATCAGTAGACCATTGTACGATCTGAAGAACATTGTACGACCTGTAGTCCATTGTACGACCTGTAGAGCATTCTACGATGTGTAGACCTGTGTACGACCTGTAGACCATTGTACGACCTGTAGACAATTGTACGATCTGTAGACCTGTGTACGACCTGTAGATAATTGTACGATCTGTAGACCATTGTACGACCTGTAGACCATTGTACGACCTGTAGGCCCCTGTATGACCAGTTAACCATTGCACGACCTGTAGACCCTTGTACGACCTGTAAACCATTGTACGATCTGTAGACCATTGTACGACCTGTAGTCCATTGTACGATCTGTAGACCTGTGTACGACCTGTAGTCCATTGTACTACCTGCAGACCCCGACACGATCTGTAGACCATTGTACGACCTGTAGACCATTGTACGATCTATAGACCTGTGTACGACCTGTAGAACATCGTACGATCAGTAGACCGGTGTAAGACCTGTAGACCATTGTACGACCTGTAGACCATTGTACGACCTGTAGACCATTGCACGACCTGTAGACCATTGTACGACCTGTAGATCCCTGTATGACCAGTTAACCATTGTACGACCTGTAGACCTATGTACGATCTGAAGATCATTGTACGACCTGTAGACCATTGTACGACCTGTAGAGCATTGTACGATCTGTAGACCATTGTACGACCTGTAGACCATTGTACGACCTGTAGACAATTATACGATCTGTAGACCTGTGTACGACCTGTAGATAATTGTACGACCTGTAAACCATTGTACGACCTGTAGACCATTGTACGACCTGTAAACCATTGTACGACCTGTAAACCATTGTACGATCAGTAGACCATTGTACGATCTGAAGATCATTGTACGACCTGTAGTCCATTGTACGACCTGTAGAGCATTCTACGATGTGTAGACCTGTGTACGACCTGTAGACCATTGTACGACCTGTAGACAATTGTACGACCTGTAGACCATTGTACGACCTGTAGGCCCCTGTATGACCAGTTACCCATTGCACGACCTGTAGACCCTTGTACGACCTGTAAACCATTGTACGATCTGTAGACCATTGTACGACCTGTAGTCCATTGTACGATATGTAGACCTGTGTACGACCTGTAGTCCATTGTACTACCTGCAGACCCCGACACGATCTGTAGACCATTGTACGACCTGTAGACCATTGTACGATCTATAGACCTGTGTACGACCTGTAGAACATCGTACGATCTGTAGACCGGTGTAAGACCTGTAGACCATTGTACGGTCTGTAGATCATTGTACGACCTGTAGACCATTGTACGACCTGTAGACCATTGTACGACCTGTAGACCATTGTACGACCTGTAGATCCCTGTATGACCAGTTAACCATTGTACGACCTGTAGACCCCTGTACGACCTGTAAACCACTGTACTATCTGTAGACCATTGTACGACATTCAGTCCATTGTACGATATATAGACCTGTGTACGACCTTTAGACCATTGTACGACCTGTAGACCATTATACGATCTGTAGACCATTGTACGACCTGTAGTCCATTCTACTACCTGTAGACCCCGGCACGATCTGTAGACCATTGTACGACCTGTAGACGATGGTACGACCTTTAGTTCATTGTACATGTAGACCATTGTACGACGAATAGATCCCCGTTAGACCTGTACACCCCTGTACCACCTGTAGACCATTGAACGACCTTTAGTTCATTGTACGACATGTAGACCATCGTACGACCTGTAGAGCCCTGTACGACCTGTAGAGCCCTGTACGACCTGTAGAGCCCTGTACGACCTGTAGAGCCCTGTACGACCTGTAGACCCCTGTACGACCTGTAGAGCCCTGTACGACCTGTAGAGCTCTGTACGACCTGTAGACCCCTGTACGATCTGTAGAGCCCTGTAGGACCTGTAGAGCTCTGTACGACCTGTAGAGCCCTGTACGACCTGTAGAGCTCTGTACGACCCGTAGACCCCTGTACGATCTGTAGAGCCCTGTCTTCTGAACGTCAGATGCTCTCTAGACCAACGGTTATATCGAAGCGACATTGGGCATATCGCTCATGAAAGCATCATTTACGGCTATATAAAAGTATGTTATAATCAACAGCCATTTTGAGTCGTTTACTTTGAAAGTACACACGTGTGAGAGTCTTGCTGTCAACAACAATGTTCGCCTTAGATGACCATGCACGTGGAACTTGTGAATTATAACCTAATGTCTTTAATGTTACTATATGTTTCTAACACTTTGTGTTAAGTGCTGTTACTCAGTAACCCTTTCCACCAGTATACGTCATGTTGTTATGATACATGTGCTATTTTTTAAATGGGGAGAGCTACTTGGACACGCCCCCCACCACCTGCCCATCCTGGATTTTCAACTGCATTTAGCAGCTTTGCAATTTCTTCTTTGTCATCTGCAAATGTGGTTAATCTAGGTGAGGGAAGATGGTCCGACAGGAGCTTTTCTAGGACGGTTTAGCGGCCAGCGTCTGCCCCCAGTGATTTACGCCAAGAAGCTGTGGTTGTCCTTCACTTCGGATGCTTCACTCGGGAAGAAGGGCTTCATAGCCTTTTGGGAAGGTATGCGGTTTAGTTTCCACCTGTGGGTCGTATCGGTGCGTTCCAGTGATAGCCTGAATGTCCGTATCTTCCATTGTTAACATACATATCCGTCTCTTCCCGTGAAGCCTTAATGTCCGTACCTTCCAACTGTAGGACTAGTGAATGTCTTCTTCAACGGTTCAGCTTAGTTTCCGTCCCTTCCAGCTGTAATCTTAGTTTCCGTCCCTTCGAGCAGTCAGCTTGGTTTCCGTCCCTTAAAGCTATAGGCTTAGTTTCCGTCCCTTCCAGCTGTAGGCTTAGTGTCCGTCCCTTCAAGCTATAGGCTTAGTTTCCGTCCCTTCCAGCTATAGGCTTAGTTTCCGTCCCTTCCAGCTGTAGGCTTAGTTTCCGTCCCTTCTAGCTGTAGGCTTAGTTTCCGTCCCTTCCAGCTGTAGGTTTAGTGTCCGTCCCTTCCAGCTGTAGGCTTAGTGTCCGCCCCTCTAACTAAAGGTTTAGTCTCCTTCCCTCTAACTAAAGACTTTGTGTCCTTCCCTCTAACTGAAGGCTTAGTGTCCTTCCCTCTAACCAAAGGCTTAGTGTCCTTCCCTCTAACTAAAGGCTTAGTGTCCTTCCCTCTAACTAAAGGCTTAGTCTCCTTCCCTCTAACTAAAGGCTTTGTGTCCTTCCCTCTAACTAAAGGCATAGTGTCCTTCCCTCTAACTAAAGGCTTTGTGTCCTTCCCTCTAACTAAAGGCTTAGTGTCCTTCCCTCTAACTAAAGGCATAGTGTCCTTCCCTCTAACTAAAGGCTTTGTGTCCTTCCCTCTAACTAAAGGCATAGTGTCCTTCCCTCCAGCAAAATGCATAGTGTCCTTCCCTCTAACTAAAGACTTTGTGTCCTTCCCTCTAACTAAAGGCATAGTGTCCTTCCCTCTAACTAAAGGCATAGTGTCCTTCCCTCTAACTAAAGGCTTTGTGTCCTTCCCTCTAACTAAAGGCTTTGTGTCCTTCCCTCTAGCTAAAGGCTTAGTGTCCTTCCCTCTAACTAAAGGCTTAGTGTCCTTCCCTCTAACTAAAGGCTTTGTGTCCTTTCTTCTAACTAAAGGCTTTGTGTCCTTCCCTCTAACTAAAGGCTTAGTGTCCTTCCCTTTAACTAAAGGCATAGTGTCCTTCCCTTTAACTAAAGGCTTTGTGTCCTTCCCTCTAACTAAAGGCATAGTGTCCTTCCCTCCAGCAAAATGCATAGTGTCCTTCCCTCTAACTAAAGGCTTTGTGTCCGTCCCTCTAACTAAAGGATTAGTCTCCTTCCCTCTAACTAAAGGCTTAGTGTCCTTCCCTCTAACTAAAGGATTAGTCTCCTTCCCTCTAACTAAAGGCTTAGTGTCCTTCCCTCTAACTAAAGGCTTAGTGTCCTTCCCTCTAACTAAAGGCTTAGTGTCCTTCCCTCTAACTAAAGGCTTTGTGTCCTTCCCTCTAACTAAAGGCTTAGTGTCCTTCCCTCTAACTAAAGGCTTAGTGTCCTTCCCTCTAACTAAAGGCTTTGTGTCCTTCCCTCTAACTAAAGGATTAGTCTCCTTCCCTCTAACTAAAGGCTTAGTCTCCTTCCCTCTAACTAAAGGCTTAGTGTCCTTCCCTCTAACTAAAGGCTTAGTGTCCTTCCCTCTAACTAAAGGCTTAGTGTCCTTCCCTCTAACTAAAGGCTTTGTGTCCTTCCCTCTAACTAAAGGATTAGTCTCCTTCCCTCTAACTAAAGGCTTAGTGTCCTTCCCTCTAACTAAAGGCTTAGTGTCCTTCCCTCTAACTAAAGGCTTAGTGTCCTTCCCTCTAACTAAAAAGTGTCCTTCCCTCTAACTAAAGGCTTAGTGTCCTTCCCTCTAACTAAAGGCTTAGTGTCCTTCCTCTAACTAAAGGCTTAGTCTCCTTCCTCTAACTAAAGGCTTAGTCTCCTTCCCTCTAACTAAAGGCTTAGTGTCCTTCCCTCTAACTAAAGGCTTAGTGTCCTTCCCTCTAACTAAAGGTCTCCTTCCCTGTCCTTCCTTCCCTCTAACTAAAGGCTTAGTGTCCTTCCCTCTAACTAAAGGCTTAGTGTCCTTCCCTCTAACTAAAGGCTTAGTGTCCTTCCCTCTAACTAAAGGCTTAGTGTCCTTCCCTCTAACTAAAGGCTTAGTGTCCTTCCCTCTAACTAAAGGCTTTGTGTCCTTCCCTCTAACTAAAGGCTTTGTGTCCTTCCCTCTAACTAAAGGCTTTGTGTCCTTCCCTCTAACTAAAGGCTTAGTAAAGGCTAACTAAAGGCTTTGTGTCCTTCCCTCTAACTAAAGGCTTTGTGTCCTTCCCTCTAACTGTGTCCGTCCTTCCCTCTAACTAAAGGCTTTGTGTCCTTCCCTCTAACTAAAGGCTTAGTGTCCTTCCCTCTAACTAAAGGATTAGTCTCCTTCCCTCTAACTAAAGGCTTTGTGTCCGTCCCTCTAACTAAAGGCTTTGTGTCTGTCCCTTCCGGACCCGTAAAGATCCGGGTTAGAATTGGTTTTCTGCAATCCATGCTTATCGTAAGAGTCGACTAACAGGATTGGGTGCCGGGTGGTCAGGCTCGCATGACACATGTCATCGTAGATTGTCTGGCTCAGACTCGATTGTTTACTGACAGTAGTCACATAGCTGGACTGCGGTGTTAAACAACAAACCAACAACCAACAAACAACCATCTTATTCCAGAGTCTTCGAATGGTGTCCGGCTTAGGAATGGTACTGACGTCACCGAAGGACGAGTTGAAGTCTATCGCCAGGGGGCGTGGGGTACCATCTGTGACGACTCTTGGGACAGTATGGACGCCTTGGTCGTGTGTCGGATGCTGGGATACAAGTGAGTCCGCCAGTACTGTTCGGTGGGAGGTTTGAGTAAGTCAGTAGTGTGTGGTGGGTGGTTGAGTCAGTCACCAGTTGGGAGTCTGTCAACACAGTATTGTAAGGTGCTTTAGTGAAGGAAACACAAGCACACGCACGCACGCACACACAAAAACAGCTTTGGTATTAAAGTTATATGTAAGGGGTCCTCGGTTAATGTTTTTTGCAACTTTTCTACCACAGTGATGGGGAAGACGTGAACGCAACGTCTTTGCCAGGAGGAACGTTTGGTCCAGGTGTAGGTGTGATTGTCTTTGATGAGATGAGCTGTATTGGCGTGGAAGATAACATCCATGATTGCTCATCTTCTGAAGATCACAACTGCAACCACTTCGAGGACGCCTCAGCCAGATGCATCAGTAAGGAAAACCGACGAAAGTGATACAATTAGTACTACATCAATAAGAAACATTGCAGAGTGAGATGGGTATGACGTGGTAGTTGATGCATCAATGAGGAACACGGTAGAGTGAGATAGGTTGGGTGTGATAGTTGATACATCAGTGCGGAACACGGTAGAGTGAGATAGGTTGGGTGTGATAGTTGATACATCAGTGAGGAACACGGTAGAGTGAGATAGGTTGGGCGTGGTAGTTGATACATCAGTGAGGAACACGGTAGAGTGAGATAGGTTGGGTGTGATAGTTGATACATCAGTGCGGAACACGGTAGAGTGAGATAGGTTGGGTGTGATAGTTGATACATCAGCGAGGAACACGGTAGAGTGAGATAGGTTGGGTGTGATAGTTGATACATCAGCGAGGAACACGGTAGAGTGAGATAGGTTGGGTGTGATAGTTGATACATCAGTGAGGAACACGGTAGAGTGAGATAGGTTGGGTGTGATAGTTGATACATCAGCGAGGAACACGGTAGAGTGAGATAGGTAGGGTGTGATAGTTGATACATCAGTGAGGAACACGGTAGAGTGAGATAGGTTGGGTGTGATAGTTGATACATCAGCGAGGAACACGGTAGAGTGAGATAGGTAGGGTGTGATAGTTGATACATCAGCGAGGAACACGGTAGAGTGAGATAGGTTGGGTGTGATAGTTGATACATCAGTGCGGAACACGGTAGAGTGAGATAGGTTGGGTGTTATAGTTGATACATCAGCGAGGAACACGGTAGAGTGAGATAGGTTGGGTGTGATAGTTGATACATCAGCGAGGAACACGGTAGAGTGAGATAGGTTGGGTGTGATAGTTGATACATCAGTGAGGAACACGGTAGAGTGAGATAGGTTGGGTGTGATAGTTGATACATCAGTGAGGAACACGGTAGAGTGAGATAGGTTGGGTGTGATAGTTGATACATCAGCGAGGAACACGGTAGAGTGAGATAGGTTGGGTGTGATAGTTGATACATCAGTGCGGAACACGGTAGAGTGAGATAGGTTGGGTGTGATAGTTGATACATCAGCGAGGAACACGGTAGAGTGAGATAGGTTGGGTGTGATAGTTGATACATCAGTGAGGAACACGGTAGAGTGAGATAGGTAGGGTGTGGTAGTTGATACATCAGCGAGGAACACGGTAGAGTGAGATAGGTTGGGTGTGATAGTTGATACATCAGCGAGGAACACGGTAGAGTGAGATAGGTTGGGTGTGATAGTTGATACATCAGTGAGGAACACGGTAGAGTGAGATAGGTTGGGTGTGATAGTTGATACATCAGTGCGGAACACGGTAGAGTGAGATAGGTTGGGTGTGATAGTTGATACATCAGTGAGGAACACGGTAGAGTGAGATAGGTTGGGTGTGATAGTTGATACATCAGCGAGGAACACGGTAGAGTGAGATAGGTTGGGTGTGATAGTTGATACATCAGAGCGGAACACGGTAGAGTGAGATAGGTTGGGTGTGATAGTTGATACATCAGCGAGGAACACGGTAGAGTGAGATAGGTAGGGCGTGGTAGTTGATACATCAGTGAGGAACACGGTAGAGTGAGATAGGTAGGGTGTGATAGTTGATACATCAGTGCGGAACACGGTAGAGTGAGATAGGTTGGGTGTGATAGTTGATACATCAGTGAGGAACACGGTAGAGTGAGATAGGTAGGGCGTGATAATTGATACATCAGTGAGGAACACGGTAGAGTGAGATAGGTAGGGTGTGGTAGTTGATACATCAGTGAGGAACACGGTAGAGTGAGATAGGTTGGGTGTGATAGTTGATACATCAGTGAGGAACACGGTAGAGTGAGATAGGTAGGGCGTGATAGTTGATACATCAGCGAGGAACACGGTAGAGTGAGATAGGTTGGGTGTGATAGTTGATACATCAGTGAGGAACACGGTAGAGTGAGATAGGTAGGGTGTGGTAGTTGATACATCAGTGAGGAACACGGTAGAGTGAGATAGGTTGGGTGTGGTAGTTGATACATCAGTGAGGAACACGGTAGAGTGAGATAGGTTGGGTGTGATAGTTGATACATCAGTGAGGAACACGGTAGAGGTAGGTAGGGTGTGATAGTTGATACATCAGTGAGGAACACGGTAGAGTGAGATAGGTTGGGTGTGATAGTTGATACATCAGTGCGGAACACGGTAGAGTGAGATAGGTTGGGTGTGATAGTTGATACATCAGCGAGGAACACGGTAGAGTGAGATAGGTTGGGTGTGATAGTTGATACATCAGCGAGGAACACGGTAGAGTGAGATAGGTTGGGTGTGATAGTTGATACATCAGTGAGGAACACGGTAGAGTAAGATAGGTTGGGTGTGATAGTTGATACATCAGCGAGGAACACGGTAGAGTGAGATAGGTAGGGCGTGGTAGTTGATACATCAGCGAGGAACACGGTAGAGAGAGATAGGTTGGGCGTGGTAGTTGATGCATCAGTGAGGAACACGGTAGAGTGAGATAGGTAGGGCGTGGTAGTTGATGCATCAGAAAAGAACACGGTAGAGGGAGATAGGTAGGACGTGGTAGTTGATGCGTCAGTGAGGAAAACGGTAGAGTGTATAGCAAGTGTTAGAAGATCCTCTGTACCTACTCCTCTGACATGATCACTTAGCTGATATTTACTGGACAGAATCTAGCTGTATATGCAGGATTAACCTTGTGGTCTGCTGACGTCGCTGTTTGAAAGGAACTAGTTGTAGACTTGGTACAGCTGAACTTCTATTTCACTATTCATCCTAATAAATTTTCATTGCAGGCAAAACTCCAACATCCACGTCTGCATTTGACAACAGTACCTTCATCCAACGTAAGTCTTGTATTGTTCAGTCGTAGCTTTTGTTTGGACTATTGTTTCAAAGCTTCAAGGTATACAGTGTGTGTCTGCAATTGGGAGCAAGGCTGTTACCTTGAAGACCCTCTACAAGAACCTTTGCATAATATCCATCTTACGAACAAATGATTTTCCCATCATTTTCGACACACCTGATTATTATTTTCCCAAAGTAGTATGCTTAACACCAATGTCGTCATTTTGTCTGCTGATATCTGCAGAGAGTATGGTGGATGCTGTGACTGTCTCCTGTGACTCGCTCACCATGAAGGTGACTGTCGATCTCTCACAGATTGAGGACGTCTATCCACAGCTGGCGGAAGGAACAGAATACTTAACTCTCGCCAGTGACAACTGTGTTGGGAACATAAACAACAACACCATCGAATTCAACAATGACATCACAGATTGCGGGATGGTGTCCATGGTAACGTGTTTTGTAGACACAAATTACATATCGAATAATTAGTTCAGAGTTCGATAAATAGTTCAGTAAAAATACGCAATGCGAAAAAATACGAACGAATTACTGATACACTCTGTCCTCATTCTATTTCTTCTCTCAGCAAAATCAAGAATACATCATCTACCGCAACAGACTGGTCTCTCACCCGAACGGCTCCGGCGACTCGGACAACAGCAAGATCTCCCGCGGCTTTAACTCTGTTGCCATCCCTGTCACGTGTTCCCTGGCCAAGAGGGTCAGTTTGACCGCCCGGATGATCAGCTACCTGAAGACCAAGAAGAGCACTACTGTACGCGGTTATGGGAACTTCACTGCTCAGATGAACTTCTATAAAGACTTGACTTTCAGCAGGCAGATCTATGACTACCCGATGTACGTGGAGCTTGGGGAGGAGGTGTACGTGGAGGCCCGGATACTCACCCGGGACAAGAGCCTCAAGGTGGTGCTGTACGACTGTCAGGCAACACCTGGTTCAAACTCTACAAATACTGACGTCTATACTCTCATCTCTAAAAGGTAGATATCCCCCGTTTATAGCTGCCAAACACACAGAGGCACACAAGATTACCACTCTTTCCCACAACACACTCATCACTAGACAACTGTCGTCTCCACAACACACTCATCACTAGACAACTGTCGTCTCCACAACACACTCATCACTAAACAACTGTCGTCTCCACAACACACTCATCACTAGACAACTGTCGTCTCCACAACACCCTCATCACTAGACAACTGTCGTCTCCACAACACCCTCATCAATAGACAAATGTCGTCTCCACAACGCGCACATCACTAGACAACTGTCGTCTCCGCAACACCCTCATCACTAGACAACTGTCGTCTCCACAACACACTCATCACTAGACAACTGTCGTCTCCACAACACCCTCATCACTAGACAACTGTCGTCTCCACAACGCGCACATCACTAGACAACTGTCGTCTCCGCAACACACTCATCACTAAACAACTGTCGTCTCCACAACACACTCATCACTAGACAACTGTCGTCTCCACAACACGCTCATCACTAGACAACTGTCGTCTCCACAACACCCTCATCACTAGACAACTGTCGTCTCCACAACACCCTCATCACTAGACAACTGTCGTCTCCACAACACAGTCATCACTAGACAACTGTCGTCTCCACAACACACTCATCACTAGACAACTGTCGTCTCCACAACACAGTCATCACTAGACAACTGTCGTCTCCACAACACACTCATCACTAGACAACTGTCGTCTCCACAACACGCTCATCACTAGACAACTGTCGTCTCCACAACACACTCATCACTAGACAACTGTCGTCTCCACAACACGCTCATCACTAGACAACTGTCGTCTCCACAACACACTCATCACTAGACAACTGTCGTCTCCACAACGAGCTCATCACTAGACAACTGTCATACAGTCATCATATAGTCATCATACAGTCACCATACAGTCATCATACAGTCACCATACAGTCATCATACAGTCGTCATACAGCCATCATACAGTCTCCACTAGTAGTGAGTGAGTGAGTTCAGTTTTACGCCGCACTCAGCAATATTCCGGCTATATGGCGGCGGGCTGTGAATAATCGAGTCTGGACCAGACAATCCAGTGATCAACAGCATGAGCATCTAACCCTGCGCCACTGGGATCCGATGACATGTGTCAACCAAGTCAGCGAGCCTGACCACCCGATCCCGTTAGTCGCCTCTTACGACAAGCATGGGTTACTGAAGATCAATATTCTAACCCGGACCTTCACGGGTTCACCACTAGTAAGATTCATTACCAGTAATACAATCATCATACAGTCGTCATACCGTCATCATACAGTCATCATATAGTCACCAAATAGTCATCATATAGTCACCATATAGTCATCATACAGTTGTCATGCAGTCGTCTCAAGTAACACACTAATCAGTTTCCTTACGATCCACCGGCCAGATGCCCAGTTGACAGTTCAGCACAGATACTGACTTCTCCGAACGCCACTGCCGCTAGATTCCACTTCAAGACGTTCCAGTTCCTGCAGCGGGAGGGTAAGGTGTTCATCAAGTGCGCACTGCTGGTGTGTAACGTCACAGACAAGTCCCAAGTCTGTAGTACAGCATGTTCCAACGGTGGCCGCAAGAGACGCAGTGCCGAAAAGGTTCACTTCGTGGACGTCATACAGGGGCCGCTGATACTGAAGAACAAGGCTCAACCAGGTAACTACATCCGCAAGTCGCACTTTAACAGGATTCCAGCATTAAAATTCTGATAATTTCTCTGTACTGTAGGCGCCCGCCAATGACGCACCAATCAGTTGACTGTACTGTAGGCGCCAACCAATTACACACTTATCAGGTGACTGTACTGTAGGCGTCAACCAATGACACAATTATCAGGTGACTGTACTGTAGGCGCCAACCACTGACACACACTTATCAGGTTAAGGCACTGTAGGCGTCCACCAATGACACACTAATCAGGTGACTGTACTGTAGGCGTCCACCAATGACACAACTATCAGGTGACTGTACTGTAGGCGTCCACCACTGACACACACTTATCAGGTGACTGTACTGTAGGCGTCCACCAATGACACACTAATCAGGTGACTGTACTGTAGGCGTCCACCAGTGACACACACTTATCAGGTGACTGTACTGTAGGCGTCCACCAATGACACACTTATCAGGTGACTGTACTATAGGCGTCCACCAATGACACAATTATCAGGTGACTGTACTGTAGGTGTCCACCACTGACACACACTTATCAGGTGACTGTACTGTAGGCGTCCACCAATACTGTATGTAGGGTCCACCAATGTACACTAATCAGGTGACTGGTAGGCGTCCACCAATGACACACACTTATCAGGTGACTGTACTGTAGGCGTCCACCAATGACACACACTTATCAGGTGACTGTACTGTAGGCGTCCACCAATGATACACTTATCAGGTCACTGTACTGTAGGCGTCCACCAATGACATACTTATCAGGTCACTGTACTGTAGACGTCCACCAATGACACACACTAATCAGGTCACTGTACTGTAGGCGTCCACTAATGACACACACTTATCAGGTGACTGTACTGTAGGCGTCCACAAGTGACACACTAATCAGGTGACTGTACTGTAGGCGTCCACCAATGACACACACTTATCAGGTGACTGTACTGTAGGCGTCCACCAATGACACACACTTATCAGGTGACTGTACTGTAGGCGTCCACCAATGACACACACTAATCAGGTGACTGTACTGTAGGCGTCCACGACTGACACACACTTATCAGGTGACTGTACTGTAGGCGGCAATAAGTGACACACTAATCAGGTCACTGTACTGTAGGCGTCCACCAATGACACACACTTATCAGGTGACTGTACTGTAGGCGTCCACCAATGACACACACTAATCAGGTGACTGTACTGTAGGCGTCCACGAATGACACACACTTATCAGGTGACTGTACTGTAGGCGGCAATAAGTGACACACTAATCAGGTCACTGTACTGTAGGCGTCCACCAATGACACACACTAATCAGGTGACTGTACTGTATCAGGTCACTGTACTGTAGGCGTCCACTAATGACACACACTTATCAGGTGACTGTACTGTAGGCGGCAATAAGTGACACACTAATCAGGTCACTGTACTGTAGGCGTCCACCAGTGACACACACTAATCAGGTCACTGTACTGTAGGCGTCCACCAATGACACACACTTATCAGGTGACTGTACTGTAGGCGTCCACCAATGACACACTAATCAGGTGACTGTACTGTAGGCGTCCACCAATGACACACACTAATCAGGTGACTGTACTGTAGGCGTCCACTAATGACACACACTTATCAGGTGACTGTACTGTAGGCGGCAATAAGTGACACACTAATCAGGTCACTGTACTGTAGGCGTCCACCAATGAGGCGTCCACCAATGACACACACTTATCAGGTGACTGTGACTGTACTGTAGGCGTCCACCAATGACACACACTAATCAGGTCACTGTACTGTAGGCGTCCACCAATGACACACACTTATCAGGTGACTGTACTGTAGGCGTCCACGAATGACACACTTATCAGGGTGACTGTACTGTAGGCGTGTAGGCGTCCACCAATGACACACACTTATCAGGTCACTGTACTGTAGGCGTCCACTAATGACACACACTTATCAGGTGACTGTACTGTAGGCGGCAATAAGTGACACACTAATCAGGTCACTGTACTGTAGGCGTCCACCAATGACACACACTTATCAGGTCACTGTACTGTAGGCGTCCACGAATGACACACACTTATCAGGTGACTTTACTGTAGGCGTCCACTAATGACACACACTTATCAGGTGACTGTACTGTAGGCGTCCACCAATGACACACACTTATCAGGTCACTGTACTGTAGGCGTCCACCAATGACACACACTTATCAGGTGACTGTACTGTAGGCGTCCACTAATGACACACACTTATCAGGTGACTGTACTGTAGGCGTCCACTAATGACACACACTTATCAGGTGACTGTACTGTAGGCGTCCACTAATGACACACACTTATCACTTATCAGGTCACTGTACTGTAGGCGTCCACCAATGACACACACTTATCAGGTGACTGTACTGTAGGCGTCCACTAATGACACACACTTATCAGGTGACTGTACTGTAGGCGTCCACCAATGACACACACTAATCAGGTCACTGTACTGTAGGCGTCCACCAATGACACACACTTATCAGGTCACTGTACTGTAGGCGTCCACGAATGACACACACTTATCAGGTGACTTTACTGTAGGCGTCCACGAATGACACACACTTATCAGGTGACTGTACTGTAGGCGTCCACTACTGGCGTCCACCAATGGCACACACTTATCAGGTGACTGTACTGTAGGCGTCCACGAATGACACACACTTATCAGGTGACTGTACTGTAGGCGGCAATAAGTGACACACTAATCAGGTCACTGTACTGTAGGCGTCCACCAATGACACACACTTATCAGGTCACTGTACTGTAGGCGTCCACCAATGACACACACTTATCAGGTGACTGTACTGTAGGCGTCCACCAATGACACACTTATCAGGTGACTGTACTGTAGGCGTCCACCAATGACACACACTTATCAGGTGACTGTACTGTAGGCGTCCACCAATGACACACACTTATCAGGTGACTGTACTGTAGGCGTCCACCAATGACACACACTTATCAGGTCACTGTACTGTAGGCGTCCACCAATGACACACAGTTATCAGGTGACTTTACTGTAGGCGTCCACCAATGACACACACTTATCAGGTGACTGTACTGTAGGCGTCCACCAATGACACACACTTATCAGGTGACTGTACTGTAGGCGTCCACCAATGACACACACTTATCAGGTCACTGTACTGTAGGCGTCCACCAATGACACACACTTATCAGGTGACTTTACTGTAGGCGTCCACTAATGACACACACTTATCAGGTGACTGTACTGTAGGCGTCCACGAATGACACACACTTATCAGGTGACTGTACTGTAGGCGTCCACGAATGACACACACTTATCAGGTCACTCGAGTAACAAAATGTCCTTCATTTTGATGCATTGGATTATTCAGTACTTGTTAAAGATACGTGATGTTGGGTTTTCTCTTTTGTTGTGTCTTTGATTTACGGACATTACATGGGATATACAACCATTTCTTGTATTCCAGTACACAAGAGTTCAAGCACAATTCACGTGGGAGCTATCATTGCGACGTGTGTCGTTGTTGCGGTCGTTGTCGTTTCGATCACGCTGTTTATGTTTTCACGAAAGAAGAAGGCCACTTGGTTCTCAAATCAAGCGTACAACGACTACGACAACCACAACGACATGGTATCGATGCTGCAAATGACACCTCCTCCTCAAGTTAGAGATTAGCGATGAAACGGTGCCAGGGCATCTTCCTCAGCTCGCCGTACGTCCATCTCGTTGTACAGATACTTAAGCCGCGCATCTCGAGATCCTGTACTGTTTATCTGGCGCACAGTTTACTTTGAAGCCTTATTTACCTGGCGCACAATTAAGATTAAAATACTGGTTAATTTGGTGCACTGCTTACTTGGACTTGGTGCTCATTGATTAACTGCTCATGGACTCCGTGCTTTGCTTTAAAACACTGTCATTCTTGAGGAATGCATTTATCTTGATGCATTGCATTTGCTAAAATGTTCTTCGCAACGTACGGTTAACTAAGATATTTGTTCTGTATTTAGTACTTATGCTGAAACATCGTAACTTTCGAGTTTCGTCGGTTGCCTAGATCCTCACACTCATCCCATGTTTTTCCACATTGTATATATGATTGAATTTGAAAAGAGTTTATGTATCCAGTAGTGATTCAGTGAGAAAAGATTTTATGCATGTGTAAACGCTAAAGCAGATGCTCCTCTAAAGGGGCTAGTGTGGTGCTATTATCTCATATATTTGTTGTCATGACGCCTAAATAAACTTACCAAACATGGGACTTCTGTACTGTCTTAGAATCGGAAGTGGAAACATCAACAACCTTCCTATCTGGAAACATATGGTCCTCATTCCTACAAAGGTAAGACAGACCACGCCCATGTCATGTCAACCTCTCTACTTATAAGGCTAGACAGACCACGCCCATGTCATGTCAACCTCTCTACTTATAGAGGCGGTGGGGTAGCCTAGTGGTTAAAGCGTCGGCTTGTCACGCTGAAAACCCGGGTTCGATTCCCCACATGGGTACAATGTTTGAAGCCCATTTCTGGTGTCCACCGCCTTAATATTGCTGAAATATTGCTAAAACCGGAGTAAAACCATACTCACTCACTCACTCAACTGATAAGGGTAGATAGACCACGCCTATGTCATGTCCATATCTCTACTTATAAGGGTAGATAGACCACGCCCATGTCAACCTCTATATTTTTAAGGGTAGACAGACCACGCCCATGTCATGTCCACATCTCTACTTATAAGGGTAGATAGACAACGCCCATGTCAACCTCTGCTTTTAAGGGTAGACAGACCACGCCCATGTCATGTCCATATCTCTATTTATAAGGGTAGATGGTCACGCCCATGTCAACCTCTCTACTTTTAAGGGTAGATAGACCACGCCCAATTCAACCTCTCTACTTTTAAGGGTAGACAGACCACGTCCATGTCAACCTCTCTACTTATAAGGGTAGATAGACCACGTCCATGTCATGTCCATATCCCTACTTATAAGGGTAGATAGACCACGCTTATGTCAACCTCTCTACTAATAAGGGTAGATAGACCAAGCCCATGTCATGTCCACATCTCTACTCATAAGGGTAGATAGACCACGCCCATGTTATGTCCATATCTCTACTTCTAAGGGTAGACAGACAACGTCCATGTCAACCTCTCTACTTATAAGGGCAGATATACCACGCCCCTGTCATGTCCCTATCTCTACTTATAAGGGTAGATAGACCAAGTCCATGCCATGTCCATATCTCTACATATAAAGGTAGATAGACCACGCCCATGTCAACCTATCTACTTATAAGGGTAGATAGACCAAGCCCATGTCATGTCCACATCTCAACTCATAAGGGTAGATAGACCACGCCCATGCCATGTCCACATCTCTACTTTTAAGAGTAGATAGACCACGCCCATGTTATTTCAACATCTCTCCTTATAAGGGTAGATAGACCACACCCATGCCATGTCAACCTCTCTACTAAAAAGGGTAGATAGACCACGCCCATGTCATGTCCATATCTCTACTTATAAGGGTAGATAGACCACGCCCATGTCAACCTCATTACTTACAAGGGTAGACAGACCACGCCAATGTCACCCTCTCTACTTATAAGGGTAGATAAACCACGTCCATGTCATGTTCATATCTCTACTTATAAGGGTAGACAGACCACGCCCATGTCAACCTCTCTACTTATAAGGGTAGATAGACCACGCTCATGTCATGTCCATATCTTTACTTATAAGGGTAGATAGACCACGCCCATGTCATGTCCACATCTCTACTTATAAGGGTAGATAGACCACGCCCATGTCAACCTCTCTGCTTTTAAGGGTAGACAGACCACACCCATGTCAACCTATCTACTTATAAGGGTAGATAGACCACGCCCATGCCATGTTCATATCTCTACTTATAAGGGTAGACAGACCACGTCCATGTCATGTCCATATCTCTACTCATAAGGGTAGATAGACCACGCCCATGCCATGTCCACATCTCTACTTATAAGAGTAGATAGACCACGCCCATGTTATTTCCACATCTCTACTTATAAGGGTAGATAGACCACACCCATGTCATGTCAACCTCTCTACTAATAAGGGTAGATAGACCACGCCCATGTCATGTCCATATCTCTACTTATAAGGGTAGATAGACCACGCCCATGTCAACCTCATTACTTACAAGGGTAGACAGACCACGCCCATGTCACCCTCTCTACTTATAAGGGTAGATAGACCAAGCCCATGTCATGTCCACATCTCTACTCATAAGGGTAGATAGACCACGCCCATGTCATGTCCACATCTCTACTTATAAGAGTAGATAGACCACGCCCATGTTATTTCCACATCTCTACTTATAAGGGTAGATAGACCACACCCGTGTCATGTCAACCTCTCTACTAATAAGGGTAGATAGACCACGCTCATGTCATGTCCATATCTCTACTTATAAGGGTAGATAAACCACGTCCATGTCATGTCCATATCTCTACTTATAAGGGTAGATAGACCATGCCCATGTCATTCTCTCTACTTATAAGGGTAGATAGACCACGCCCATGCCATGTTCATATCTCTACTTATAAGGGTAGACTCTACTAATAAGGGGTAGATAGACCACGCCCATGCCATGATCATATCTCTACTTATAAGGGTAGACAGACCACGTCCATGTCATTTCCATATCTCTACTTATAAAGGTAGACAGACCACGTCCAAGTCATGTCCACATCTCTTCTTATAAGGGTAGGTAGACCACGCCCATGTCATGTCCATATCTCTGTCATGTCCACATCTCTACTTATAAGGGTAGGTAGACCACGCCCATGTCATGTCCATATCTCTACTTATAAGGGTAGATAGACCACGCCCATGTCATGTCCATATCTCTACTTATAAGGGTAGATAGACCACGCCCATGTCCACATCTCTACTTATAAGGGTAGATAGACCACGCCCATGTCATGTCAATCTCTCTACTTATAAGGGTAGATAGACCACGCCCATGTCATGTCCATATCTCTACTTATAAGGGTAGATAGACCACGCCCATGTCATGTCCATATCTCTACTTATAAGGGTAGATAGACCACGCCCATGTCAACCTCTCTACTTATAAGGGTAGATAGACCACGCCCATGTCATGATAGACCACGCCCATGTCATGTCCTATCTCTACTTATAAGGGTAGATAGACCACGCCCATGTCAACCTCTCTGCTTATAAGGGTAGATAGACCACGTCCCCATGTCAACCTGTCTACTTATAAGGGTAGATAGACAACGCCCATGTCAACCACGCCCATATAAGGGTAGACAGACCCATCCATCTGTTACTTATAAGGGTAGACAGAGACCCATGTCCATGTTCATCTCTACTTATAAGGGGTAGATAGACCACGCCCATGTCATGTCCACATCTCTACTTATAAGGGTAGATAGACCACGCCCATGTCATGTCCACATCTCTACTTATAAGGGTAGATAGACCACGCCCATGTCAACCTCTCTACTTATAAGGGTAGATAGACCAAGCCCATGTCATGTCCACATCTCTACTCATAAGGGTAGATAGACCACGCCCATACCATGTCCACATCTCTACTTATAAGAGTAGATAGACCACGCCCATGTTATTTCCACATCTCTACTTATAAGGGTAGATAGACCACACCCATGCCATGTCAACCTCTCTACTAATAAGGGTAGATAGACCACGCCCATGTCATGTCCATATCTCTACTTATAAGGGTAGATAGACCACGCCCATGTCAACCTCATTACTTACAAGGGTAGACAGACCACGCCCATGTCACCCTCTCTACTTATAAGGGTAGATAAACCACGTCCATGTCATGTCCATATCTCTACTTATAAGGGTAGATAGACCATGCCCATGTCAACCTCTCTACTTATAAGGGTAGACAGACAACGCCCATGTCAACCTCTCTACTTATATGGGTAGATAGACCACGCTCATGTCATGTCCATATCTTTACTTCTAAGGGTAGATAGACCACGCCCATGTCATGTCCACATCTCTACTTATAAGGGTAGATAGACCACGCCCACGTCAACCTCTCTGCTTATAAGGGTAGACAGACCACACCCATGTCAACCTGTCTACTTATAAGGGTAGATAGACCACGCCCAAGCCATGTTCATATCTCTACTTATAAGGGTAGAAATGTTCATATCTCTACTTATAAGGGTAGACAGACCACGTCCATGCTATGTCCACATCTCTACTTATAAGGGTAGATAGACCACGTCCATGTCATGTCCACATCTCTTCTTATAAGGGTAGATAGACCACGCCCACGTCAACCTCTCTGCTTATAAGGGTAGATAGACCACGCCCATGTCAACCTCTATACTTAAAATGGTAGATAGACCACGCCCATGTCATGTCCATATCTCTACTTATAAGGGTGATAGACCACGCCCATGTCAACCTCTCTACTTATAAGGGTAGATAGACCACGTCCATGTCATGTCCACCTCTCTACTAATAAGGGTAGACAGACCACGTCCATGTCATGTCCATATTCTCTACTTATAAGGGTAGACAGACCACAACTACGTCATGTCAATCTCACTACTTATAAGAGCTGACAGACCACGCCCATGTCACGCCCTTCTAGAGCGGCTGAGAGTCCGATTTGGTGTCACAGGTACAGTTGTCATGTGGTTAAAGTCCTGTTTGCATCTTCGGTCTCAGTGTGTAACATTCGGGAAATCTACATCGATTCTAAACCATGTCCCTTGTCTTATAGCGCTCCCCAAGGATCGGTGTTGGGTCCACTGATCTTCACAACGTACATCGATCATTCCTCTTGGTGATATCTTCACAAGTTACAGAATACCTTTCCATGGCTAGGCTGATGACACACAGAACCTGATTGCTGCCAGACCAAACCGTATTACCACTGAACTTGACAGACTACAAAATGCATCGATAAAGTTTGCAACTGGATGAAAATTCACTTTTTTAAATTGAACGAGGAGAAAGCTGAAGTTATTCTTGTTGGATCCTATTAACAACTACAGAAGATACCTGGGTCTAAAATCACATGCTGGGTTGGAGATGCACCAGTAACATATCCTATTAACAACTACAGAAGATACCTGGTTGTAACATCACATGCAGAATTGGAGATGCACCAGTAACATATCCTATTAACAACTACAGAAGATACCTGGTTGTAACATCACATGCAGAATTGGAGATGCACCAGTAACATATCCTATTAACAACTACAGAAGATACCTGGTTGTAACATCACATGCAGAATTGGAGATGCACCAGTAACATATCCTATTAACAACTACAGAAGATACCTGGTTGTAACATCACATGCAGAATTGGAGATGCACCAGTAACATATCCTATTAACAACTACAGAAGATACCTGGTTGTAACATCACATGCTGGGTTGGAGATGCACCAGTAACATATCCTATTAACAACTACAGAAGATACCTGGTTCTAACATCACATGCTGGGTTGGAGATGCACCAGTAACATATCCTATTAACAACTACAGAAGATACCTGGTTGTAACATCACATGCAGAATTGGAGATGCACCAGTAACATATCCTATTAACAACTACAGAAGATACCTGGTTGTAACATCACATGCAGAATTGGAGATGCACCAGTAACATATCCTATTAACAACTACAGAAGATACCTGGTTGTAACATCACATGCAGGGTGGAGATGCACCAGTAACATATCCTATTAACAACTAAAGAAGATACCTGGTTGTAACATCACATGCAGAATTGGAGATGCACCAGTAACATATCCTATTAACAACTACAGAAGATACCTGGTTGTAACATCACATACAGAATTGGAGATGCACCAGTAACATATCCTATTAACAACTACAGAAGATACCTGGTTGTAACATCACATGCAGAATTGGAGATGCACCAGTAACATATCCTATTAACAACTACAGAAGATACCTGGTTGTAATATCACATGCTGGGTTGGAGATGCACCAGTAACACCATGAAAACAAGTACGGAATCCGGGCGTTGTTTTTGACTCCAATATGAAAATATAGAATCAAGTAGAAGCAGTTTGCAAAACAGGTCATTTGTACCTCCATCGGATTGGAAAACTCCGCAGACCTTTCTTAGGGTGCAACTAAACTTCTAGCTCAGTCGCTTCTCGTCTCAAGACTAGATTACTCTAACTCCCTGTTAAATGGCATATCCTCAACACTCCTTCATAAACTTCAACTCCTCCAAAATACAGCTGCCAGGATCATTACCAGGACACCTAAACACCAACATATCTCTCTTGTTATCAAACAACTTCATTGGCTACCAGTTTCCAGCAGAAGCAAGTTCCAAATCACATTCCACACTTTCCAATGTCTCATGACAGACTCTGCTCCTTCCTATCTCAAAGCCCTGGTTCAGCCTCACACGCCAAGCCGGACACTGCGTTCCCAAGACAAGTACCTCCCAAAGTCTCACTGTAAAACAGCTATGGGTGAATGCAGTTCAGATGCGCAGCAGCATCTATGTGGAATGCCCTTACAGATCAGATCAACAGTCGCCAGTGAACAGTCAACCTGGAACCTTCAGCGCTATACAAAATGACTAGATTAGATTAGATGTCCACATCTAACCCTGACTTATAAGGGTAGACAGGCCACACCCATGTCATGTCATCCTCTCTACTAATAGGACACACAGGCCACACCCATGTCATGTCATCCTCTCTACTTATAGGGGTAGACAGGCCACGGCCATGTCATGTCATCCTCTCTACTTATAGGGGTAGACAGGCCACGGCCATGTCATGTCATCCTCTCTACTTATAGGGGTAGACAGGCCACGGCCATGTCATGTCATCCTCTCTACTTATAGGGGTAGACAGGCCACACCCATGTCATGTCATCCTCTCTACTTATAGGGGTAGACAGCCACACCCATGTCATGTCATCCCTCTACTTATAGGGGTAGACAGGGCCATGTCATGTCATGTCATCCTCTCTCTACTTATAGGGGTAGACAGGCCACACCCATGTCATGTCATCCCTCTACTTATAGGGTACACAGGCCACGGCCACGTCATGTCATCCTCTCTATTTATATAGGGTAGACAGGCCACACCCATGTCATGTCATACTTATAGGGGTAGACAGCCACACCCATGTCATGTCATCCTCTCTACTTATAAGGGTAGACAGGCCACGGCCATGCCACGCCACACCCATGTCATGTCATCCTCTTATAGGGGTAGACAGGCCACGGCCATGTCATGTCATCCTCTCTACTTATAGGGGTAGACAGGCCACGGCCATGTCATGTCATCCTCTCTACTTATAGGGGTAGACAGGCCACGGCCATGTCATGTCATCCTCTCTACTTATAGGGGTAGACAGGCCACGGCCATGTCATGTCCATATCTCTGCTTATAGGGGTAGACAGGCCACACCCACGTCATGTCATCCTCTCTACTTATAGGGGTAGACAGGCCACACCCATGTCATGTCCATATCTCTGCTTATACTAAATATTGACCCTTGTCAGCAGTAAGAATAACAGACTCAGCTTAACATCTTTTATATGAAGTTATGTAAAAGACAAAATTTAATTGTACTTTAAAAACTCTTCGTACAGCGTGGCATTTATTGTCAACACATATGGGTAAGATATACAAATGAAACAAAGATACAATGTATACAAAGTAATGTGTTTCATTTTAGATACGATGAGTGTAAAGATGAAAAATATTTGTTGGAGATTAACGTGACGCGCTAACGTAACTACAGTAAACACTTATGGTCTGTCATGTACTAAAGGATAATTGTACATACCACTGTCGTTTTCTGATATTTAAAGCGAAAAGCACAACGCATATTCCCCTATTTATGGAATATATCCCCGAAGCATATGTCACGTGTTCTGTGAGCGTCAACGTCTAAGGATTCCTCCCGCTGCCTCGTTTGAAGATTTTGACACCTGGGCCGTATTTCATGATGGCGAGTGTTATAGCCATGACCGACACCATGACGACACCGACTCCAACGCCAACCGCTGTCCCTGTTGACAGCGTGCCACTGACATTGGACGTCTCATTCTGAGAGGGCATTTCCAAAACACCAGACTCGCTTCTTGGAATTGGTATCTCCATTGGGACTTCAGCACTTTCGCTGGGGTGAGATGGTGTCCGATTTGAGTCCGAGCTCCGGACGGGTAGAGATGGTGTCCGACTTGTGTCCGAGCTCCGGACGGAGTGAGATGATGTCCAATTAGGGTTCAATGTTACACCTGGGGGAGACTCTTTCGCATCAACCTCGGCATTACGGTTTTCACCATTAGGACGGGGATGGTGGCCATTCAGACTGTCCTCTGTAGTGACTGGTTTCCCCTCCGTTACACCAGTGCGCAACTCTGTAAGAAGGAGGATCCATGTATGTATGTGGTATATACATTGAAAGGTGTGTTTAGTGGAGCTGTTTATAATGTGTGTTTAGTGGAGCTGTTTATAATGTGTGTTTAGTGGAGCTGTTAATAATGTGTGTTAAGTGGAGCTGTATATAATGTGTTTAGCGGAGTTGTATATAATGTGTGTTTAGTCGAGTTGTATATAATGTGTGTTTAGTGGGGCTGTATATAATGTATGTTTAGTGGAGTTGTATATAATGTGTGTTTAGTGGAGTTGTATATAATGTGTGTTTAGTAGAGTTGTATATAATATGTGTTTAGTGGAGCTGTATATAATGTGTGTTTAGTGGAGCTGTTAATAATGTGTGTTTAGTGGAGTTGTATATAATGTGTGTTTAGTGGAGTTGTATATAATGTGTGTTTAGTGGAGTTGTATATAATGTGTGTTTAGTGGAGTTGTATATAATGTGTGTTTAGTGGAGTTGTATATAATGTGTGTTTAGTGGAGTTGTGTATAATATGTGTTTAGTGGAGTTGTATATAATGTGTGTTTAGTGGAGTTGTATATAATGTGTGTTTAGTGGAGTTGTGTATAATGTGTGTTTAGTGGAGTTGTGTTTAATGTGTGTTTAGTGGAGTTGTATATAATGTGTGTTTAGTGGAGTTGTATATAATGTGTGTTTAGTGGAGTTGTATGTAAGGTGAGTTTAGTGGAGTTGTATATAATGTTTGTTTAGTGGAGTTGTATATAATGTTGGTTTAGTTGAGTTGTATATAATGTGTGTTTAGGGAGCTTATATAATGTGAGTTTAGTGGAGTTGTATCAATGTGTGTTTAGTGGAGCTGTATATAATGTTTGTTTAGTTGAGTTGTATATAATGTGTGTTTAGGGGAGCTGAATATAATGTGAGTTTAGTGGAGTTGTATATAATGTGTGTTTAGGGAGCTGAATATAATGTTTGTTTAGTTGAGTTGTATATAATGTGTGTTTAGGGAGCTGAATATAATGTGAGTTTAGTGGAGTTGTATATAATGTGTGTTTAGTGGAGCTGTGTATAATGTGTGTTTAGTGGAGTTGTATATAAGTGTGTGTTTAGTGGAGTTGTATATAATGTGAGTTTAGTGGAGTTGTATATAATGTGTGTTTAGGGGAGCTGTATATAATGTGAGTTTAGTGGAGTTGTATATAATGTGTGTTTAGGGGAGCTGTATATAATGTGTGTTTAGTGGAGTTGTATATAATGTGTGTTTAGTGGAGTTGTATATAATGTGTGTTTAGTGGAGTTGTATATAATGTGTGTTTAGCGGAGTTGTATATAATGTGTGTTTAGTGGAGCTGTATATAGTGTTTGTTTAGTGGAGTTGTATGTAAGGTGAGTTTAGTGGAGTTGTATATAATGTGTGTTTAGTGGAGTTGTATATAATGTGTGTTTAGGGGAGCTGAATGTAATGTGAGTTTAGTGGAGTTGTATATAATGTGTGTTTAGGGGAGCTGAATATAATATGAGTTTAGTGGAGTTGTATATAATGTGTGTTTAGGGGAGTTGTATATAATGTGTGTTTAGGGGAGCTGAATATAATGTGAGTTTAGTGGAGTTGTATATAATGTGTGTTTAGTGGAGTTGTATGTAAGGTGAGTTTAGGGGAGCGGTATATAATGTGAGTTTAGTGGAGTTGTGTACAGTGCGTGTTTGCGCTGTGCATTATAATGGCGAAAGTATAACAATGAAACACTAAAACTATTTGACATTTCCGACATCAATATCCCCAATACGTTTCCTTTCTGGGAGAGTATACATAAATGACACCCAGCGTGCTGGAAGAAATTTACTGACTTGATACAGTCATAGTATATTAGATTGACAATGTTCTGAATACCAGTATTGTTGGTTATGCATTCATCATCTTCGTACAAAGTTTGCTACAAACAGAATATTATCACCGATCTACACAAGAGCGACACGGTAAGTGAACAATCGTCTGTATCAACGTCGCAGTGAATCCGACTCACCCGTGTCAGTCAGGCTACTGCTAGACAAACTACTGCAGACTCACCCGTGTCAGTAAGGCTACTGCTAGACACACTACTGCAGACACCCCGTGTCAGTCAGGCACCTGCTAGACACACTACTGCAGACTCACCCGTGTCAGTAAGGCTACTGCTAGACACACTACTGCAGACTCACCCGTGTCAGTAAGGCTACTGCTAGACACATTACTGAAGACTCACCCGTGTCAGTAAGGCTACTGCTAGACACACTACTGCAGACTCACCCGTGTCAGTCAGGCTACTGCTAGACACACTACTGCAGACTCACCCGTGTCAGCCAGGCTATTGCTAGACACACTACTGCAGACTCATCCGTTTTATTAAGGCACCTGCTAGACACACTACTGCAGACTCACCCGTGTCAGTCAGGCTACTGCTAGACACACTACTGCAGACTCACCCGTGTCAGTAAGGCTATTGCTAGACACACTACTGCAGACTCACCCGTTTCATTAAGGCACCTGCTGGACACACTACTGCAGACTCAACCGTGTCAATCAGGCTACTGCTAGACACACTACTGTTATCAGACTCACCCGTGTCAGTCAGGCACCTGCTAGACACAATACTGCAGACTCAACCGTGTCAGTCAGGCTATTGCTAGACACATTACTGCAGACTCACCCGTGTCATTAAGGTACCTGCTAGACACACTACTGCAGACTCACCCGTGTCAGTCAGGCTACTGCTAGACACACTACTGCAGACTCACCCGTGTCAGTCAGGCACCTGCTAGACAATGCCACTACTGCAGACCCAACCGTGTCAGTAAGGCTATTGCTAGACACATTACTGCAGACTCACCCGTTTCATTAAGGCACCTGCTACAGACACACTACTGCAGACTCACCCGTGTCAGTCAGGCAACTGCTAGACACACTATTGCAGACTCACCCGTGTCAGTCAGGCACCTGCTAGACACACTACTGCAGACTCACCCGTGTCCAGTAAGGCTACTGCTAGACACACTACTGCAGACTCACCCGTGTCAGTAAGGCACCTGCTAGACACACTACTGCAGACTCAACCGTGTCAATCAGGCTACTGCTAGACACACTACTGTTATCAGACTCACCCGTGTCAGTCAGGCACCTGCTAGACACAATACTGCAGACTCAACCGTGTCAGTCAGGCTATTGCTAGACACATTACTGCAGACTCACCCGTGTCAGTAAGGCACCTGCTAGACACACTACTGCAGACTCACCCGTGTCAGTCAGGCTACTGCTAGACACACTACTGCAGACTCACCCGTGTCAGTAAGGCACCTGCTAGACACACTACTGCAGACTCACCCGTGTCAGTAAGGCTATTGCTAGACACATTACTGCAGACTCACCCGTTTCATTAAGGCACCTGCTAGACACACTACTGCAGACTCACCCGTGTCAGTCAGGCAACTGCTAGACACACTATTGCAGACTCACCCGTGTCAGTCAGGCACCTGCTAGACACACTACTGCAGACTCACCCGTGTCAGTAAGGCTACTGCTAGACACACTACTGCAGACTCACCCGTGTCAGTAAGGCACCTGCTAGACACACTACTGCAGACTCAACCGTGTCAATCAGGCTACTGCTAGACACACTACTGTTATCAGACTCACCCGTGTCAGTCAGGCACCTGCTAGACACAATACCAGAGACTCAACCGTGTCAGTCAGGCTATTGCTAGACACACTACTGCAGACTCACCCGTTTCATTAAGGTACCTGCTAGACACACTACTGCAGACTCACCCGTGTCAGTCAGGCTACTGCTAGACGCACTACTGCAGACTCACCCGTGTCAGTAAGGCACCTGCTAGACACACTACTGCAGACCCAACCGTGTCAGTAAGGCTATTGCTAGACACATTACTGCAGACTCACCCGTTTCATTAAGGCACCTGCTAGACACACTACTGCAGACTCACCCGTGTCAGTCAGGCAACTGCTAGACACACTATTGCAGACTCACAGACTCACCCGTGTCAGTCAGGCACCTGCTAGACACACTACTGCAGACTCACCCGTGTCAGTAAGGCTACTGCTAGACACACACTGCAGACTCACCCCGTGTCAGTCAGGCTACTGCTAGACACACTACTGCAGACTCACCCGTGTCAGTAAGGCACCTGCTAGACACACTACTGCAGACTCACCCGTTTCAGTAAGGCTATTGCTAGACACATTATTGCAGACTCCTCACCCGTTTCATTAAGGCACCTGCTAGACGCACTACTGCAGACTCACCCGTGTCGGTCAGGCAACTGCTAGACACACTATTGCAGACTCACCCCGTGTCAGTCAGGCACCTGCTAGACACACTACTGCAGACTCCACCCGTGTCAGTAAGGCTACTGCTAGACACTACTGCAGACTCACCCGTGTCAGTAAGGCACCTGCTAGACACACTACTGCAGACTCAACCGTGTCAATCAGGGCTACTGCTAGACACACTACTGTTATCAGACTCACCCGTGTCAGTCGGGCACCTGCTAGACACACTACTGCAGACTCACCCGTTTCATTAAGGTACCTGCTAGACTATGCACTACTGCAGACTCACCCGTGTCAGTCAGGCTACTGCTGGACACTACACTACTGCAGACTCACCCGTGTCAGTAAGGCACCTGCTAGACACACTACTGCAGACCCAACCGTGTCAGTAAAGGCTATTTGCAGACACATTACTGCAGACTCACCCGTTTCATTAAGGCACCTGCTAGACACACTACTGCAGACTCACCCCGTGTCAGTCAGGCAACTGCTAGACACACTATTGCAGACTCACCCGTGTCAGTCAGGCACCTGCTAGACACACTACTGCAGACTCACCCGTGTCAGTAAGGCTACTGCTAGACACACTACTGCAGACTCACCCGTGTCAGTCAGGCTACTGCTAGACACACTACTGCAGACTCACCCGTGTCAGTAAGGCACCTGCTAGACACACTACTGCAGACTCACCCGTTTCAGTAAGGCTATTGCTAGACACATTATTGCAGACTCACCCGTTTCATTAAGGCACCTGCTAGACACACTACTGCAGACTCACCCGTGTCAGTCAGGCAACTGCTAGACACACTATTGCAGACTCACCCGTGTCAGTCAGGTTCCTGCTAGACACACTACTGCAGACTCACCCCGTGTCAGTAAGGCTACTGCTAGACACACTACTGCAGACTCACCCGTGTCAGTAAGGCACCTGCTAGACACACACTACTGTAGACTCAACCGTGTCAATCAGGCTACTGCTGGACACACTACTGTTATCAGACTCACCCGTGTCAGTCAGGCACCTGCTAGACACAATACTGCAGACTCAACCGTGTCAGTCAGGCTATTGCTAGACACACTACTGCAGACTCACCCGTTTCATTAAGGTACCTTGCCTGCTAGACACTACTGCAGACTCACCCGTGTCAGTCAGGCTGCTGCTAGACACACTACTGCAGACTCACCCGTGTCAGTAAGGCACCTGCTAGACACACTACTGCAGACCCAACCGTGTCAGTAAGGCTATTGCTAGACACATTACTGCAGACTCACCCGTTTCAGTAAGGCACCTGCTAGACACACTACTGCAGACTCACCCGTGTCAGTCAGGCAACTGCTAGACACACTATTGCAGACTCACCCGTGTCAGTCAGGCACCTGCTAGACACACTACTGCAGACTCACCCGTGTCAGTAAGGCTACTGCTAGACACACTACTGCAGACTCACCCGTGTCAGTCAGGCTACTGCTAGACACACTACTGCAGACTCACCCGTGTCAGTAAGGCACCTGCTAGACACACTACTGCAGACTCACCCGTTTCAGTAAGGCTATTGCTAGACACATTATTGCAGACTCACCCGTTTCATTAAGGCACCTGCTGGACACTACTGCAGACTCACCCGTGTCGGTCAGGCAGCTGCTAGACACTATTGCAGACTCACCCGTGTCAGTCAGGCACCTGCTAGACACACTACTGCAGACTCACCCGTGTCAGTAAGGCTACTGCTAGACACACTACTGCAGACTCACCCACGTGTCCAGTAAGGCTGCCTGCTAGACACACTACTGCAGACTCAACCGTGTCAAGTAAGGCTACTGCTAGACACACTACTGTTATCAGACTCACCCGTGTCAGTCTGCTGGGGCACCTGCTAGACACAATACTGCAGACTCAGCCGTGCCAGTCAGGCTGTTGCTGTTGACACACTACTGCAGACTCACCCGTTTCATTAAGGTACCTGCTAGACACACTACTGCAGACTCACCCGTGTCAGTCGGGCTACTGCTAGACACACTACTGCAGACTCACCCGTGTCAGTAAAGGCACCTGCTAGACACACTACTGCAGACCCAACCGTGTCAGTAAAGGCTGTTGCTAGACACATTACTGCAGACTCACCCGTTTCATTAAGGCACCTGCTAGACACACTACTGCAGACTCACCCGTGTCAGTCAGGCAACTGCTAGACACACTATTGCCAGACTCACCCGTGTCAGTCAGGCACCTGCTAGACACACTACTGCAGACTCACCCGTGTCAGTAAGGCTACTGCTAGACGCACTACTGCAGAACTCACCCGTGTCAGTCAGGCTACTGCTAGACACACTACTGCAGACTCACCCGTGTCAGTAAGGCACCTGCTAGACACACTACTGCAGACTCACCCGTGTCAGTAAAGGCTATTGCTGGACACATTACTGCAGACTCACCCGTTTCATTAAGGCACCTGCTAGACACACTACTGCAGACTCACCCGTGTCAGTCAGGCAACTGCTAGACACACTATTGCAGACTCACCCGTGTCAGTCAGGCACCTGCTAGACACACTACTGCAGACTCACCCGTGTCAGTAAGGCTACTGCTAGACACACTACTGCAGACTCACCCGTGTCAGTCAGGCTACTGCTAGACACACTACTGCAGACTCACCCGTGTCAGTAAGGCTACTGCTAGACACACTACTGCAGACTCACCCGTGTCAGTAAGGCACCTGCTAGACACACTACTGCAGACTCACCCGTTTCAGTAAGGCTATTGCTAGACACATTACTGCAGACTCACCCGTTTCATTAAGGCACCTGCTAGACACACTACTGCAGACTCACCCGTGTCAGTCAGGCAACTGCTAGACACACTATTGCAGACTCACCCGTGTCAGTCAGGCACCTGCTAGACACACTACTGCAGACTCACCCGTGTCAGTAAGGCTACTGCTAGACACACTACTGCAGACTCACCCGTGTCAGTAAGGCTACTGCTAGACACACTACTGCAGACTCACCCGTGTCAGTAAGGCACCTGCTAGACACACTACTGCAGACTCACCCGTGTCAGTCAGGCTACTGCTAGACACACTACTGCAGACTCACCCGTGTCAGTAAGGCACCTGCTAGACACACTACTGCAGACTCACCCGTGTCAGTAAGGCTGCTGCTAGACACATTACTGCAGACTCACCCGTTTCATTCAGGCACCTGCTGCAGACACACTACTGCAGACTCACCCGTGTCAGTCAGGCAACTGCTAGACACACTATTGCAGACTTTCACCCGTGTCAGTAAGGCACCTGCTAGACACACTACTGCAGACTCACCCGTGTCAGTAAGGCTACTGCTAGACACACTACTGCAGACTCACCCGTGTCAGTAAGGCACCTGCTAGACACATGACTGCAGACTCACCCGTGTCAGTCAGGCTACTGCTAGACACACTACTGCAGACTCACCCGTGTCAGTCAGGCAACTGCTAGACACACTACTGCAGACTCACCCGTGTCAGTCAGGCTACTGCTAGACACACTACTGCAGACTCACCCTTGTTAGTACTAGTCAGGCTACTGCTAGACACACTACTGGTAGAGGACACTGTAAAATGTGACGTTGATTGTGTGGTGCTGCTCAAAAGCTCTGAAAGAATGAATCATATAAAATATACATATCGCTGTGCACAATGCATGTATACTTGAACACTTTTGTAGACCAGTGTGTGTATGTATGTGCATGTGATTTTCATATCATATGATGCTGATGTACATTATTCCCAGAAAGTATTTAAAAAACTGATACTGAAAATAGAATTTTAAAATAGGTGTTACGTTATGTAGTAAGGTGCTGAATATGGGAGACAACTCTTGTAGGCTTAAGAATGAACCTTACTACATCAACAGTTGCCTCGCCTGGTGTAGCTGACGGTTTCCTTTGTTGACAAGGCAGATTTGACAGGAGAAGAGAAAAGAAAGCTGGTTCTACATCAAATGGGTGTGATTAATGTAAAAGAGTTATCTGGTAGACTGACATTCCTCTGTCTACAGTGTACAGAACTTTGAAGAATATTCAGTCAGGTGTTGGGATTGAGCACAAGACAGGGACAGGGAGACCAAGGAAGTACAGTACTACGGATCGCCGGCGACTTGGTCAGATTGTGAGTAGGGCTCACGAAAATCAAGATTTGGATCATGTTTTCTTTTCTGATGAAAGTTCTGTCTGTCTTTTTCCGAAAGGTGTGAAAATTTGGACAAAAGATACCGTGAAACCTGTCTACCAACGCCCAAAGCAAAGCCCGAAATTTCACATGTGGAGTGGGATGTCATCAAGCGGAGTGACGCCATTGTTTATTTTCACTGGAAACTTGACGAAGGAACCATATGTTGACACCTAAAATGATCACCTCCTTCCAACGGCCCGAACACTGTATGAAGATAATTGAGTTTTCCAGCATGATAACGACCAAAAACACATACTGCGGGCTACACAAAACAGTGGTTTCGGACGAAACTGTTTTAGCTTTAGACTGGCCCAGCTACAGCCTAGATCTTAACCCCACCGAGAATGTGTGGGGACTAATGAAGGACAGAATATACCAAGAAGGACTTAGAAATATTGAGGACATCAAGAAAAAACTGGTCGGATATTTGAATACGCTATCACACGATTTCCTACAAACTTTGGTCGGTAGAGTACCTGGACGCATTCAGTCGTGTATTGCGAGGCAAGGAGGTCTCACAAAGTACTGAAGAGACACTTAGACTGTGAGAGAATCATATCTCAAAACATTCATTTAAGTAAAACTTCTATAGTTTATATACATGTATTAGATATTTGCCAAAACAATAATACATAATACACGAGAAAAATATCTAAGTTGATTATACACAGCACACCAGGCTGTATAGTCGATTATCGAACCCTTGCATTATTCCATTGAACAGGAGTACAATACTGCAGAATCGTTTAGTGCTAGTCATACTTAGTCCTGCAGATGGCGTCATGATGAAGGGACCTTGTTGGAGCTCGAGCAGTTGGTTCAGCGGGAGAGAATGCTGGACCTGGCATGGCCGGCAGGAACGGGGATTACACCTCCCAACTGTACAGAATATGTGCGCTTTGGTGGCGGACGTCAGGTTATACCTGGGGGTGACGAACATGTAGATGCCTCTCTTGGTGCGGGTCATGTTCACTGTACTGTGTGGACACCTGGTGACAGGAAGACACAGTGTGATGTTCCCAACCACCGCGTGATGATAGCACTAGTAATAAGGGGCGGGGCCAGGGACGGGATATATCTGCTAATATACATCCGATACTATATATCTGCTACTATATATCCACTACTATATATCTTCTTCTATATATCTGCTACTAGACATCGATACTATATATCTGCTACTATACATCCGATACTATATATCTGCTACTATACATCCGATACTATATATCTGCTACTATATATACGCTACTATATATCTGCTACTATACATCCGATACTATATATCTGCTACTATACATCCGATACTATATATCTGCTACTATATATCCGATACTATATATCTGCTACTATATATCCGATACTATATATCTGCTACTATATATCCGATACTATATATCTGCTACTATATATCCGATACTATATATCTGCTACTATACATCCGATACTATATATCTGCTACTATATATCCGATACTATATATCTGCTACTATATATCCGATACTATATATCTGCTACTATATATCCGATACAATATAACCACTACAATATAGCCACCACTATATAACTGCTAGTACATATCCTCTGCTACATACCCGCTACTATGTATCCACTATATATCTGCTACTATATATCCACTACAATATAGCCACTATGTCTGCTACTATATATATCCACTACTATATATCCGATACAATATAACCACTACAATATAGCCACCACTATATAACTGCTAGTACATATCCTCTACTACATACCCGCTACTATGTATCCACTACTATGTCTGTATGTCTGCTACTATATATCCATTACTACCTGTATGCTACTATGTATCCAATACTATATATCTGCTACTATATATCCACTACTATAGATTTGCTAATATATATCCAATACTATATACCCACTACAATATATCCACCACTATATATCAGCTACTATATATCCTCTACAATATAGCCACTATGTCTGCTACTATATATATCCTCTACTATATATCCGATACTACTATATGTCTGCTACTATATATATCCTCTACTATATATCCGATACTACTATATATCCAGTACTATATATCCAAAACTACTATATGTCTGCTACTATATATATGCAACTATATACCCACTACAATATATCCACCACTATATGTCTGCTACTATATATGCTACTATATATCCGATACTACTATATATCTGCTACTATATATACGCATATATAACTTACGTGTTTGTGATGAGGGGAAACCTCTTCCGGTCCTCCTTGGAGGGGGCAATAAAGCAGTCACGTGGTTGGAGGTAAGGGGCCCATCTGGGATCTGATGTCGTGAATAGGATGGTGAAGGAGTTAGAATAGTCTACACTGACGGGGTACACGGACATTCGCTCACTTCCTTTGTAAATATCCATCCACACTGTGGTGTTCCTGTGTAGCGGGTGCCCATAGCTCAACACGCCAATACTTCTGTATACGAGTGGGGAGCGCGGGAATGTGCAGGTGACGGAGCGAGTGAACCTCCTGGTGACACCACTGTTCAAGGAGCGGAACAGAAGCTGGTTGACGAAGGACGTTGTTCTTGTAGTTTCCTGCAAGGTATTTGTTAGGGCAAATGTCATAAAGTAAGGTGCAAGTGTAACAAGCACAAAATATGGACAAAAGGTGTACATAGATCGGGAAATAACTATTGAATACATCTTGTTTTAGTTGCTTGTTATAATTAATTCAAAACCTTGAATTGAACACAATTGTCAGAGAAAGGATTAATCTCTTCACAAGACCATGTTTTTAGTTAAAGCTAAGGTTAGGTCATGGGTCACGAGTGGTTCCTATGCAAATTGGCCGAATATATATGAGGTCAGGTCTTTTGTCTTGCCTGTCGCTTTCATTGGTTGACAATGTGCAATATTTTGACTGGAATGTGGAATTAGGTCCACAAAGAAAGTGTGAATGTTGTTCACTTGCTGAATTTTTCCCAACCTGGCAAAGGTAATGAGTGTTTGAACTGGTCAGTTACAAGTTATTTACATTTGTTCGTTGATGAAATAAAAACATACTATTTCTAGTTGGACGTTTAACTCAGCGTTCGTGTTAGCTGAATTTATGTATTTGGTGACAGAGTATCGTTAGCAATGGCTTAAAGTTGTTGGTGACAATATGACTTCCAATTGGTTCAGATATTATATTTGATCTAAGACAAATTGTACATTTAGTCTACTGTTTATAATTATCCTTTCCATGCTAATTAAGATATATATATATATTTGATACAGATCCAATTTGATTTGGGGCGCTTCACTAAATGTGTCAAGTCTGTAGCAACTAGATGGTGAAACACAATACTATATTTTATTTTCTGAAACATGCTAATACCTAAGTGCATTCCCTAGGATTGTAATGGTACAACTGAAAGGTCTGTGGTGCCCTATACATATCCCCTGTTTTTGTGATGTCTGTGTCACGTGACTGTAATGGGATGTTTGGTAAACAGCACACAACCAAGTGCCATGCAATGGATTCTATTTACACTATGACATAGTTGAATATCTTCATATATATTGTTTCACAGAGTTGTTTGTACAACTGCGTCATTTTGATTACATATACAAAGGCGGATGTAAAATATGTGGTTAAAGGGCAAATGTCAGGTAGTATGAAATGAAATGAATCCAGCAATATCAGAACATGTGCTTCACACCAGACATGTGTTTCACACATTGAACCTATGTAAGAGCCCCGGCCGTAAGCCCTCAAAAGACATGATGTCACAATGTCATGTGTCAGAAGATATGATATATACAAGGTCAGGTGTCAGAAAATATGTTATATTCAAGGTCAGGTGAAACAAGATATGGTATAAACAAGGTGAGATGTCAGAAGATACGGCATAAACAAGGTGAGGTGTCAGAAGATACGGTATAAACAATGTCAGGTGTCAGAAGATACGGTATAAACAATGTCAGGTGTCAGAAGATATGATATAAACAAGGTGAGGTGTCAGAAGATACGGTATAAACAATGTCAGGTGTCAGAAGATATGATATAAACAATGTCAGATGTCAGAAGATACGGTATAAACAATGTCTGTTAGAAGATACGATATAAACAAGGTCAGGTGTCAGAGGATATGTTATAAACAAGGTCAGGTGTCAGAGGATATGTTATTAACAAGGTCAGGTGTCAGAATATGTGATGTACATGTGTAGATATCAGAAGATCTAAAGGTCAGATGTAATTGGGAATGATGCATATATGGAAAGGTCGAGACGTCTGGGGATTACAGAAGTATATCACATACTGAAACTAACTTTCATCTCTTTGTTAAAAGAGTGAGTAAACCTAACTTCAAGAAAGTTGATGAACGATTTTTGTAACTAATTAATGATTAATCAATGACTATAGTGTAACACATTCAATGTAAAACATTCAAACAGATTTTGCCAACTTGCTCAGCTATAGACGGTCTATCTGAACTATCTGACGGTCTATCTATCTCACGGTGGTGGTGAATGTGTGACGGGAGGGTGAGACACTTACAGTTCGGGTTGTTGAACACGTGTAAAACGCTGTCGTGATGAAGTAGGTGTTGTTAACGAAGCCAACAGAGCAAGAGGGGTCTGTCAGGGTAGCCTGCCACGCGCCAGCTACTTTGTACCTCACAGACATCGCCGATGTGTTGCAGAAGACTGAGAGCATGTCTGAAACAATATCGTCACGACTGGGGACCACAGTATGCTCAGTTCTAGCATTAGTGGGAGGGGGAACTTGACAATTGAGAAATATACACGACATATTATATCATACTTCGCCTCACGGAAGTCTTTCTGAAAAATAATTTCATAACCAGGTAATTGCCTTTCAAAAGAATCAGGGAGCAGGGTAGGTCTTTGGTAGGGTCAAGAGCAGGGAATTGGGTCTTTGGTAGGGTCAAGAGCAGGGGGTAGGTCTTTGGTAGGGTCAAGAGCAGGGTATGTCTTTGGTAGGGTCAAGAGCAGGGTAGGTCTTTGGTAGGGTCAAGAGCAGGGTAGGTCTTTGGTAGGGTCAAGAGCAGGGTAGGTCTTTGGTAGGGTCAAGAGCAGTGTAGGTCTTTGGTAGGGTCAAGGCAGGGTAGGTCTTTGGTAGGAAGCACAGAGCCATGATTTTGCATTCTTGGTGTTAAAGAAAACGTTTGGGTACCAACACTGGTAGCAAGCAAGTGATGCCACTCAAAGATGTTAGACAGATCCAAGCAGATATTTGGAACGGTACTGTTCAGTTACTGTATTAGAGTTTGTTTCTGTGTTTATTTTTCACCACCGATATCGACTGTATTGTTCTGTAAGAACCGGCAAGCTAACAGCTATTGATCACCACTTCACAATGAACCAGAATCTCCACCACAACACAAACAGATGTCTTACCGTCTGCAACATCAGTTTCATCACTGTTGGCGGCTGGAGAAGAGAAAACAAGTAAAATAAAACTTGCTAGATCATGACCGAAGCAATAGCGGCCATGAAACAAAACAAAATTAACAGCATATATTCCAGGCAAACGTAGTTAATTTAAATGTCAACATCTCCTGTGAATCTGCTGATTTGCCTAAACCTTGCAGTTTATTCACATTTGTTGCCTAATGTTTGGCCCAATGTTGCTCATGGTGCCCCCAACGTACGTTAGCCTTAAGTAGCTCCAAGTTAGCCTGAAGAAGCCCCAAGTTACCCTGAAGTAGCCCCAAGTTAGCCTGAAGTAGCTCCAAGTAAGCCTTAAGTAGCTCCAAGTTAGCCTGAAGTAGCCCCAAGTTAGCCTGAAGTAGCTCCAAGTTAGCCTGAAGTAGCCCCAAGTTAGCCTGAAGTAGCCCCAAGTTAGCCTGAAGTAGCTCCAAGTTAGCCTGAAGTAGCCCCAAGTTAGCCTGAAGTAGCCCCAAGTTAGCCTGAAGTAGCTCCAAGTTAGCCTTAAGTAGCCCCAAGTTAGCCTGAAGTAGCCCCAAGTTAGCCTGAAGTAGCCCCAAGTTAGCCTGAAGTAGCCCCAAGTTAGCCTGATATAGCTCCAAGTTAGCCTGAAGTAGCCCCAAGTTAGCCTGAAGTAGCCCCAAGTTAGCCTGAAGTAGCCCCAAGTTACCCCGAAATAGCCCCAAGTAAGCCTTAAGTAGCTCCAAGTTAGCCTGAAGTAGCCCCAAGTTAGCCTTAACCTTTTATTGCCCTTATATATCCTCCGTATTGTATCACATCCCGCGGTGTTTCCCTAACAAATGACCCTGGATAACCCCACATGTTCCTCCATTAATGACCGTACTGCCCATATATGCCCGATGTCTATCTCCATGTTGTGCATATATATCCCCTGTAACACTTATACTTATAAACCTCCAGTGACGTCACTCTATTGTTCTAGCGAGGCAGTATTTCTTGTCATATCCCGATGCCCCGTCGATTAGGGGGCATTACTTCAATATCGTCCCTCTGCCCGGGGGATTTTCTGAGGAATAGCCCTTGACTTGAATTCTTATAGTCCGTTTGACTTCATTTGAGAGCGATGAATTGCTCACTAACACAAAATCTAATAAATGCAACAAAATCAGACTTTGCACAGTCACATGAAATCGACAGACCAACGTTTCTCTCTGATGATTTGTCTCATAATTTTGGACACCCGAATATAAAAGTTGTTTAACAAACGATCATTATTTTGTTGTCACATTTCGCTATTTCTGACGTGGGGGGACCACATGCTGGTAGAACAGCCAAGTGTGCGAGTTGTTCTTGTGAAATTGAAATTTCACTGCACACGCTTGTTGATTTACATGGCTGTTCTACCAGCAATTCATCGATCTCAAATGAAGTCAAACGGACTATACATGTACTTGATTTGAAGATTGATACGACTTGTCTTGCCATCACTGAATGCGATCGTAAAACATGACATTATTGCAAACTTCCAACATTTAATGACGACACCCGGTTTCGAACCCGCAACCCATCGCTTACTAGCTTGGCAGCTTTATCCACTAGGCTACAAAGGATCGCTGTGAAAGAATGAAATTGTTTGTCGCCATGAACCGTGTGTTTCTCCCAAGACGGGTAGTGCGGGCAGCGCACGTGTAGGGCACGGTAGCGCGTGCAGAGCACGTGCATGGCGCGGCGTCGGCTGCCAGTCTCATCCCAGTTGCTTTCAACAGTAAATACCAAATATTGAAACTATATCTAAAGTATATCTTCGGTCGGTTTATAAGTTGGATAAAGCATGACTCTCGGGCATTACGAAGAAGAAAGGATGTTTTCCCTCGAAAGGATGTTCTTTTTCGTAATGCCCACGGGTCATGCTTTATGCTATACATATCCCCTGTGTTGCCCATAATTCTCCAAGTTGCATATATAACCCCATATGTAGCGAAGCACGATCTCATTTCTATGGAGGCGTTTTCAGCATAATGGGAACACGAGAGACTTGCCTCGGTCCGGCCGTCCACATTCGGCTGACCCATCTAAGATATCGATTCCAAGCTGCCAGTTTAACTGCTCGGACCATTCCTGGCTTATGTCCAATCAGTTCCAGACTGTATGGAACTGATCACAACATCCGGCCCCTACGGCCTGCAATACGCCCAATTTTGCTCTAACGTCACTGACTGGCACGTCTTGCCTGGTGCACACAGCAAGATTAGGATGTCTTTTTTGTTCACTGACGAGTCGAGATTTGATCAGGATAGCTCAGATGGCAGTGCAAGGGTGTACAGACCACGAGGGGAACGATAACCCGACGCGTGCGTTGTCCAACGTCGGCGGTTTGGTGTCGGAAGCGTTTTGGTAAGGTAGCGTGACACGCCTTGACGAGATGCAGTGTCAAATGTCAGTTCCCAAATTTGCAACGACGACGCACAGACGACATTAAACGATTGAAGAAAATTTAATGTTGTTCCATGTATGAACCAACGCTTGTCCAGATGAGATCATTGGGCCTCATGTTCAGCCGTTTATTCAAAGACAGAGACGTAACTTCACGCTTCATCAAGATAATGCCCGTCCACATGTCGATCGTGTTGTGACAGATTCCCTAAGACAGCAAAACAGTCCGGTACTCCCCTGGCCAGCTCATTCTCCGGCCTTGTCCCTTATCGAACACGCTTTGGAGGAATTGGAGCGATGTTTACGTCAAACCCAGAATCTGCCATTGATGCCGCATCTCTTCAAGGGCGCGTCACGATACCTTGTGTTAAATCATACAGATCTCGATACCAACCTGTTAAGAGCTAAACAGTGATTAAGGAAAACATCACAAATCATATCATTATCCTTTTGCATTAAAATGGCATAACATCAAACAACACAGTGACTTCATTCCAGTAGAAGATTTGTGTTGACCACCCAGGTATTTAGGTTTTGCACATACGTTCCCAGGTGAGGTGAAATCGGGTGCCTGTCCGCGTCGAGCTGGAGTTTAGGTTCAGGGTGAAGTTGTTCCCAGTGAAGGAATATATGTCTGCGTGGTCAGTGTTGGGGAGGCTGTAGATGGCGTCGAGCGGTGGGGAAAGCGTCACCTATTTTGCAGAGTGCACGGAGGTGAAAAGATTCCACAGTGTCAGTTCATATTCTAGAATACTAAGTACCTCTATTCAAACTTATAAAGAACAAGCAGGTATTATGAAATGGAACGTGAAAATGTAGCGTTATGTGCAGCCTATATTAGCATTATTATGTGTAGTCTATATTGAACACTAGGGGTATTATGTGTAGTCTATATTGAACGCTAGGGGTATTATGTGTAGTCTATATTGAACACTAGGGGTATTATGTGTAGTCTATATTGAACACTAGGGGTATTATGTGTAGTCTATATTGAACACTAGGGGTATTATGTGTAGTCTATATTGAACACTAGGGTATTATGTGTAGTCTATATTGAACACTAGGGGTATTATGTGTAGTCTATATTGAACACTAGGGGTATGTGTAGTCTATATTGAACACTAGGGGTATTATGTGTAGTCTATATTGAACACTAGGGGTATGATGTGTAGTCTATATTGAACACTAGGGGTATTATGGGTATGATGTGTAGTCTCTATTGAACACTAGGGGTATTATGTGTAGTCTATATTGAACACTAGGGTATTATGTGTAGTCTATATATTGAACACTAGGGGGGTATGTATGTGTAGTCTATATTGAACACTAGGGGTATGATGTGTAGTCTATATTGAACACTAGGGTATTATGTGTAGTCTATATTGAAACACTAGGGGTATTATGTGTAGTCTATATTGAACACTAGGGGTATTATGTGTAGTCTATATTGAACACTAGGGGTATTATGTGTAGTCTATATTGAACACTAGGGGTATGATGTGTAGTCTATATTGAACACTAGGGGTATTATGTGTAGTCTATATTGAACACTAGGGGTATTATGTGTAGTCTATATTGAACACTAGGGGTATTATGTGTAGTCTATATTGAACACTAGGGGTATTATGTGTAGTCTATATTGAACACTAGGGGTATTATGTGTAGTCTATATTGAACACTAGGGGTATGATGTGTAGTCTATATTGAACACTAGGGGTATGATGTGTAGTCTATATTGAACACTAGGGGTATGATGTGTAGTCTATATTGAACACTAGGGGTATGATGTGTAGTCTATATTGAACACTAGGGGTATGATGTGTAGTCTATATTGAACACTAGGGGTATGATGTGTAGTCTATATTGAACACTAGGGGTATGATGTGTAGTCTACTATTGAACACTAGGGGTATGATGTGTAGTCTATATTGAACACTAGTGGGTATATGATGTGTAGTCTATATTGAACACTAGGGGTATGATGTGTAGTCTATATTGAACACTAGGGGTATGATGTGTAGTCTATTATTGAACACTAGGGGTATATGTATGTGTAGTCTATATTGAACACTAGGGGTATGATGTGTAGTCTATATTGAACACTAGGGGTATTATGTGTAGTCTATATTGAACACTAGGGGTATGATGTGTAGTCTATATTGAACACTAGGGGTATGATGTGTAGTCTATATTGAACACTAGGGGTATGATGTGTAGTCTATATTGAACACTAGGGTATTATGATGTGTAGTCTATATTGAACACTAGGGGTATTATGTGTAGTCTATATTGAACACTAGGGTATGATGTGTAGTCTATATTGAACACTAGGGTGGGTATGTGTAGTCTATATTGAACACTAGGGGTATGATGTGTAGTCTACATTGAAAACTGTATTATGTGTAGTCTCTATTATGTGTAGTCTACATTGAACACTAGGTGTATTATGTGTAGTCTATATTGAACACTAGGGTATATGTGTAGTCTATATTGAACACTAGGGGTATGATGTGTAGTCTATATTGAACACTAGGGTATGATGTGTAGTCTATATTGAACACTAGGGGTATGATGTGTAGTCTATATTGAACACTAGGGGGTATTATGTGTAGTATTGAACACTAGGGGTATTATGTGTAGTCTATATTGAACACTAGGGGTATTGATGTGTAGTCTATATTGAATTGACTACTAGGGGTATTATGTGTAGTCTATATTGAACACTAGGGGTATGATGTGTAGTCTATATTAAAACTAGGGGTATTATGTGTAGTCTATATTGAACACTGTAGTATGATGTGTAGTCTATTGAACACTAGGGGTATGATGTGTAGTCTATATTGAACACTAGGGGTATTATGTGTAGTCTATATTGAACACTAGGGGTATTATGTGTAGTCTATATTGAACACTAGGGGTATGATGTGTAGTCTACATTGAACACTAGGGGTATTATGTGTAGTCTATATTGAACACTAGGGGTATGATGTGTAGTCTATATTGAACACTAGGGGTATTATGTGTAGTCTATATTGAACACTAGGGGTATGATGTGTAGTCTATATTGAACACTAGGGGTATTATGTGTAGTCTATATTGAACACTAGGGGTATGATGTGTAGTCTACATTGAAAACTAGGGGTATTATGTGTAGTCTATATTGAACACTAGGGGTATGATGTGTAGTCTATATTGAACACTAGGGGTATGATGTGTAGTCTATATTGAACACTAGGGGTATTATGTGTAGTCTATATTGAACACTAGGGGTATTATGTGTAGTCTATATTGAACACTAGGGGTATTATGTGTAGTCTATATTGAACACTAGGGGTATTATGTGTAGTCTATATTGAACACTAGGGGTATGATGTGTAGTCTATATTGAACACTAGGGGTATGATGTGTAGTCTATATTGAACACTAGGGTATTATGTGTAGTCTATATTGAACACTAGGGGTATGATGTGTAGTCTATATTGAACACTAGGGGTATTATGTGTAGTCTATATTGAACACTAGGGGTATTATGTGTAGTCTATATTGAACACTAGGGGTATTATGTGTAGTCTATATTGAACACTAGGGGTATTATGTGTAGTCTATATTGAACACTAGGGGTATGATGTAGTCTATATTGAACACTAGGGTATTATGTGTAGTCTATATTGAACACTAGGGTATTATGTGTAGTCTATATTGAACACTAGGGGTATTATGTGTAGTCTATATTGAACACTAGGGGTATTATGTGTAGTCTATATTGAACACTAGGGGTATTATGTGTAGTCTATATTGAACACTAGGGTATGATGTGTAGTCTATATTGAACACTAGGGGTATTATGTGTAGTCTAGGGGTATATGTGTAGTCTATATTGAACACTAGGGGTATTATGTGTAGTCTATATTGAACACTAGGGGTATGTATATATGGTATGTGTAGTCTATATTGAACACTAGATGTGGTATGATGTGTAGTCTATATTGAACACTAGGGGTATTATGTGTAGTCTATATTGAACACTAGGGGTATTATGTGTAGTCTATATTGAACACTAGGGGTATTATGTGTAGTCTATATTGAACACTAGGGGTATTATGTGTAGTCTATATTGAACACTAGGGGTATTATGTGTAGTCTATATTGAACACTAGGGTATTATGTGTAGTCTATATTGAACACTAGGGGTATTATGTGTAGTCTATATTGAACACTAGGGGTATGATGTGTAGTCTATATTGAACACTAGGGGTATTATGTGTAGTCTATATTGAACACTAGGGGTATTATGTGTAGTCTATATTGAACACTAGGGGTATGATGTGTAGTCTATATTGAACACTAGGGGTATTATGTGTAGTCTATATTGAACACTAGGGGTATGATGTGTAGTCTATATTGAACACTAGGGGTATTATGTGTAGTCTATATTGTAGTATTATTATGTGTAGTCTATATTGAACACTAGGGTATTATGTGTAGTCTTGAACACTAGGGTTGTGTAGTGTAGTCTATATTGAACACTAGGGGTATGATGTGTAGTCTATATTGAACACTAGGGGTATTATGGTGTAGTTTATAATGTTATTATTATGTGTAGTCTATATTGAACACTAGGTGTATTATGTGTAGTCTA